GTTGTTCATCGATTTGCTCGAGTGGGCCCAGTAACGTCTCCATCATGAGACTTGTTACTGTGTTTGGCATATCAAGTATGTCACGGGTAGGTTGCCAGGCTCTGCTGTGTGGGTGAAATACTCTCGGTAGCTTGCCGGGCTCTCCAAGAGGGGCGGAGGAATCGAACTCGAGTCGGCCATGTTGGCTGCGTGCAAGGCAAACGGCCTACCGCTGTGCTATCGCTCTAGCTGAGCTGGGTTCGATTCCTCTGCCCCTCTTGGAGGGCCTGGCAAGCTACCGAGAGTATCTCGCTACCCGTGACATATTCAATATGCCAAACACAGTAACAAGTCTCAAAAGGGAGACGTTACTGGGCCTGCTTGAACACCTTATTGGTTAGTATAAGGTAACATTGCATAGTAAACAAAACGGGTGCTCTTGAAGTACTCCCGACACTCTCAATTGTCACAGTTCTGATTGATCTTGCTTTCCTCTCAGCTGACCCACTTAGACCACCCCCAACACTGAGACTCTCCATGATGAAAACTGCCCATGTTCCATTTACTTGGGGGCAAAATGGATTTATAAATAGATTAAGCTGTCATGAGATTTTGCTTACTTCCAGAGTTTGAGACCACATAGTATAACATCATCACTCTATGTGTTTCTTGGTAAACCTTAGAACACTAAGGAAACACAGAAAGACCTTGAAGTCTCAGCTAGGGCACAAAACCATCCCAGTCTAACTGGCCTTCTGGTGTGGTCATGTGACTCTCTGTAATTGAACACAATGCTAAGTGATATGCACATTAGTTCTGAATCTAGTCCCACTACACCCCCCAGGCTGGAAGAACCTTCCTCATCTGCTGGCCCTAGTGGAAGGGCCAGTCACAACAAGGGAATAAATCTTCCCTTAACCCTGAACAGTTATGGAATTGGGAAATAAACGTTTTACCTTAGCTAATTAAACCACTGGGACCAAATTGTGGGTACAGCCTAGGAGAATCAGAACCTCAGGGCTGTTTTAGCACCTCTGTTCAATCATTTCTCCACCTGGTGTAGCACCTCACAGCTGACTTGGTTTTAATTACTTAGTCTACTAAGTAATTTATTGGTTGTGTAGTACTCCATGAAATATCTGGCTAGTCATCATTCACTTTTATTGTTTCTAAGTCTTTATCTAAATACTGTTATAATATGCTCAGCACTTTCACTCTGTCTTTTGAATCATTTTATTAAGTATTACCAGAACTGCATTATTTAAAGGTCATTAAACTTTAAGCTTCTTGTTTCAACAACTGAATCACTTACATTTTTGTCTTTACTGCTGTACTCATCTCAGACTCTGAAAGCAATTTTTCAAGTACATAACAGTAAAGTCATCTGACTTTTTTGGAGGGGCCACTCAAACCATGGTCGGGGGTGGGCGGGGGCAGTCCCAACCCTGGCTATACTCAATTAACTTGGCTGGATGGTTCAAAGTTCTGATGGCCGGCAGTGCTGGCAGCAGTGCTCAGGAGTGGTTCCTTTGCATGCAAGCATGTATCCTTGATCACTGAGCTAGCTCAAAATTAAAATGTCTTAAATTCCCTAGTTACATTTCCTTGATTACTACTGTGGCTGACCCCTTTTCTTTTTTATTTATTTATTGAATTGCTGTGGGAAAAGTTACAAAGCTTTCAGGTTTAGGTCTCGGTCATGCAAATATCAATCACATTTCCCTTTACCAATACTTATTTTTCACCACGAAGAACCCCAATAACCCCCCCCATGTCTGTGAGGCAGATGAATTCTAGTTAATTCTCTAATTACTTTGACTAGCTTCATTGTTTCGATAAAAGTTGCACCATTATTAGAGTTTGCCCCCCCCCTCCGCGAATCAGCCATGCTGAAAAAGCATTGTGAAATGATTTGCTTTCTACAGCTGGGTTCAAGAATTAAATGATGTCGCGCGCGGCCACGTGGTTTTGGATTTCGTCTATTTTACTTATTAACCCTGGAAGTATTTCTACTGAGAGTCAGATTATTAAGAGATTGGTTTCTGTGCTCTGGAGTCATGGCCGTGCCGGAGAGCCGCTCGTGGGGGGCAACTGGTGACCTCGGTAGGGCGTGAAGGACGGGCCGGAACGCCCCCCGTCCCACGAGGTTTCAGTCGCACCCCCATCCCCGGTTCATACCTGCTGTCCACAAGGCTCCCATGCGGCCACCATCTTTCTTTCCAGAGAGGAGAGGGACCCCTTTTCCATTTGACAAATTAGTTGTACCTCCTATCTCATGTCTTGCGATCTGTTGGAATCTACCTTTCCTATACAAGATATCTAGCACTATAAGTTATCACTGAGAACCAATAATCCAAAATTTCAGAACCATTTTATTAAAGTCAAAACAAATATTAAGGCACAGTAATACATCAATTTTCCAAATAAAAATCTTTGATTTGAAATAGATCTATACACTGTTCAAAACAATGTCTTTCAAATCATACAATTTAAATCCTTTAGACAGAAAAATATCTTTTTATACTCCTGAACTTTCTTCCCAAATAAATGTTTTCCTAATTATAAATAAAATTCTCTCCTTTTTTTTTCCTTTTTAGGTCACACCAGGTGATGCTCAGGGGCTATTCCTGTCCCTGCGCTCAGAAATCACTCATGGTGATGCTCGGGGGCCCATCTGGGATGCCAGCGATCAAACCAGGTTTGGCCACTTACAAGGCAAATGCCCTATCCATGTACTATCGCTCTGGCCCCAATAAAATTCTTAATGCAGCACTGAATTCATTTTATAATGTACAGTTCTCCCCAAATCTAGTTTGTCACTTATACATATTTGATATTAATCATTTCAGTGGGTAAACTTCAAGTATAAGGCTTGATGCTTTATACTTTTTATTGCATGCTGTAGGTTATACAAAAACACGAGTACCAAAAGTTGTGACTTACAAATTTAGTATAACATTTCAACTTTAGCCATGTATAGTTTAGACTATCAGTCACTCCACAGAGCTAAACCCTGCTTTAAAAATGGTATATAAAAATCAACCTATATTCACATTTTCCCCATTTTCAGTACTGATATTTTAGTGCAAATACACTGTATTACAGGGGAAACATATTTCCTATAATATATAATGAATTTTAATTTTTAATTTTACAGTGAAAATGTGGGTTCATTTTATGGTCTCTGGGACTTAAAAATTCAGACGTTCATCTATTTTCCTTTTTTTAAAGTATAAACTAAGTATGCTTTAAAACAAATACTTAAATACAAACTCAAATAAATAGATTCCCTTTTAAGAAAATTTTACATAAGATTTTTTGGGGGGCTATACCCAACATGTTCAGGGCTTACTCCTGGCAGTCTTGGAGGACCTGATGGAATGCCAGGGATTGAACCCAGGTTAGAGGGGTGCAAGGCAAGTGCCATAACTGCTGTACTATCTGTTTAGATGGTCTAACCATTCTGCTAGAAACATATAGAACTAATCTCATTCTCAGTTCATTACCATTATCATTATATCTTGTGGCATTCTAAGAATAAATTATTCTGACAGCCATCAAAGTCTTGATAAGCAGTTTCTGGAAAGTTTCTACAGAAGTAGACTGAACAGTGCCTAGTGGTCCTAGGCTAACATTTCCCTTGTGTGTTTCATAGGAACCCAGGTATGGTCCCAGTTCATAGGAAGGGCCTAAGAAGACTCTTCACAGGAATATCCAATTCAGTATAGAAGAGTGTGACAGATCACATAATTCTCACTCGAAAAAACATAGCAGATGTTCTCTGCACAACATTCCAGGCTGGGCTAATCCAGAGGGGATCCTGTTTGCTCTGAATGGCCAGGAAAGGTTGCCTGCAGTGAGTTATGTCTATGGCATCATTTTGTAAATGCCATGAGGTTGTGTGAGAAGCAGTTTCTCTTCCTGCTGTCACTGTCTATTCCCCATGCCTACTCCACGAGCTGTGCAGCTCTGACGAGCTGGAAGACCAGGATTCTGCACTTCAGGATTTACCAAAGCCAGATGATGAATTGGGGAGTCAATGTACCTCCAACTAAGGGCTGTGAGATACTACAAAAATGTCAGAAACAAGAAGGCAGAGGCACATCTGCTCTGATATAGCAGGGAAGAGGGTGGGATACACCCAAACCAGAACAGACACAAATACTGTATGTGTATGATTTGGGGGTGGGGGTGAGGTTAGCACATCACTATGGCAGAAGCCAAACAAGATACACATCCCCGTTAATCGAGGAATTCTCTTATGAGGAAGGTATCAAACTAACATTGTCCTGAAATCCACACCTTTTTCTGAAACATTTATCAGAACATTTTGAATTCACTACTAAAAATAATTTAAAAACTCAAGAGAGAATACTACCTGAAATGAGTATTTCTTTTCCTTGCCTCAAAGATATGAATGAGGTAAATCCAAAAGGTAGACTTTTTAAGAAAAACGTTTGTAGCTTCACAATTTAAAAAAGGTGCTATTTAAGTGTTTCCAATGGTTAGGACTGCAGTGCTTCTCAACCAAAACCCCCTGAAGTCATTCTTAATTCAAAAGGGCAGGGATTCCTTCAATGAGTGATCTACATGTTTCTAATTGTAATTCATATTTTAAATGTCCAGAGTCCCATATCTTTGGTTATGAGCAGCAAAACTATCCACAATTCCATTATTCTACATACAAATAGCTCTCAAGTTCAGGACGCCCTGCATGTTTAAGAGGAAAAAAAAAATTCAAGTTGACACATTACATAGACAATGAAATCAAATAATGTACAAACCATAGTTGAAGGTTAAGAAATTACCAAATACGGGGCTGGATCAATAGTACAGCGGGGAGGGCATATGCCTTGCCTGTGGCCGAACTGGGCTCGATTCCTGACATCCCCTATGGTCCCCTGAGCAATGCCAGGAGTAGTTCCTAAGCACAGAGCCAGGAGTAACCCCTGAGCATCGCTGAGTGTGACCCCCAAAAAAGCAAAAAATAAATAAATATTTTAAAAATTACCAAATATTGATGCATTGTGCAGTTAAATATGTTTTATTAAGAAACCAAATATTCCAAATAAAACATGGTTAAGGTTGTAGGTTTACTGCAGGACACGATCTCCTGGCCTCCTCAGGAATAGTCAGTGGTGGGACAAACAGGAGCACATTTGGCCTGTGGGCAGGGACCGAGGCCAGCAAACCTTCGGACAAACTTCTCAGGACCAAGCTTTCCATTCTCTTGTGTTCCGGGAAGCTCAGGCACAGAAGAGAAACCCCAGGAGTTCATGAGCAGGGGGATATTTACAAACAAGGGCTCTCTGCAGACACGGCTGTGCACCAGGCTACACCAGCCTGACATCCTTATGGTGCAAGGCAAAGCAAGCTGCACTTGATGATCAGATTACATAATCTCTGTGTGAAACGCAGAGGTAATTACCTCCAGTAACTGCAAGAGACAATGTTCTACCACACTTCTGAAGAATCACATCATCTAGCTCCTCTACCTCAAAAGTCTGTGGAAGAAGAGTAGAGGTATTTACTTAAAAAAAAAAAATCGATATATCTGCATTAGCTATATTTTCCAGAAGGAAAAAATACCCAAATCCACATGCCACCATCCACCAGCTAAGGGCATCTGGGCATGTATCTCTGTAATACTTCTCTCAAGTTTATTCCCGGCTGCAGGTCATGTAGTGGGCACTAACCTGACCTTCAAGAGTCAGCTTTGAAAGGTTTGCAGAGTCCACCCACTACCTGAGTCTTAACTATTTCCAAAAAGAATACAATGAAAATTTGTTGCACAGCAGCAGAACAAAGTTCTCTTCTAGTTCTAAGATGTCCTTCTCTGTTAGTAGGGTTTCATTTATGTGAGTCCCATTCACATGATCTTCTCTGAAGAGAACATTTTTTCTGCCATTTCAGATCTGGTCATGATTTCCTTAAAAAAAAAAAAAGATACTCGTGAAAATGCTGTACTAATAAAATCACTCAATCTTTCAATAGTCATAGTTTCTAGGAATATTCCATGAAATAGATACAGGAAATGTAAACCATATAATTTAACGTCTTGTTAGCTACAACGGTTAAGACCGAGTTAAAATGGTCCCCCGAGCACCGCCAGGAGTAATTCCTGGGTGCAGAGCAAGGAGTAACCCCTGAGCATTGCTGGGTATGACCCAAAAAGCAAAATAAATAAAATGGACCTCTCAAGTGACTCTGCTAGAAATTTGCCTCACTTTATACAATTAATGTATATTTGAAATTTTAAATCAATTATCAAATGAACAGTACAAATGTTCCTTTAAGAGCCATTCTATGGTATAACTTTTTACAGAGTTAGAAATCCTAAAGTTTAACTGTTTAGTAGCAAAGCTTACCATGTTTTGTAGCCTTCTCACAACTTTTCATTCCCCTGTAACCAAATCAATCTGCTGGGACCAAAGTCATTATTGTCCTTACCATTCATATAGAGCTGGGCTTCTCTGCGGTCTATTAACCATCACATGAATTACTCCTTAACTATCACTATTTCTCCTATTTTAAAATCCACATTCTCTATTTGAATTTCCTTAGTAAATAACAAGACCCAGAAGCTCTATTTCCTAGTCCTGTAAGACAGCTAGAAGATTGAGGCAAATTAGACAAAACGCCATGTTAAGGTAGTATTTACTTACAGATGAGAGAGAATCACAGAGTCAAAATCCCCTAATTCTTTCTTTCTCTGATACCAATAAGCTTCTATCATACTCCTATATAAAGTGAGTATCCAATTCCTTTAATTCCACCCACAAGTAAATGCACTGTTTTAATTTAGCTTGCTCAATTTGTAATCATAAAAAAAAATAACTTTCAGAATTTCTTTCTGAAGCATATTTATACTGTAAAAATATAACAACTCCAAAGTAATAAGTAAATCTATAAATTACCTCATCTGAATCCACCAACACTGGAAGAGCTCTGAAATAAAAGGGGGGGGGGAGATAATGAAGTATTAAAAGGTGATTTATCAACTAAAGCTAAAGAGAACACTGAGTTGCAAGTGCCCCAAACATTTGTGACCCACCAACACTTTTTTTTTAAATGGGAAGAGACTTTTGTAGACAAATAAAACCACAGAGATCCATTTCCAGCAAAACTACACTGCCAAAATTATACATAAAGGAAGTTTTTTAGAAATTTTGTATATAGGGAGCATGGAAAAGAAAGATCAATGGACACAAAAGCTACCACATCTAGTTATACTGTTTTTCACTATGGAAGCAACTATTTGTAATTCATCATCCAACAGAACATTTGAAGGACCCTGAACAATTCAAGAGCGCAGGGATTGGGGCCAGAGTGACAGCACAGAGGGGAGGGTGTATGCCTGTATATGGCTGACCTGGGCTCAATCCCTGGTACCCCATATGGTCCCCAGAGCCCGACCAAGAATAATCTCTGAGAGCAGAGTTAGGAGTAAGCCCTGAACACTATCAGGCGTAAAGACCAAAAGACAAAAAAAAAAAAAAGTGAAAAAGAGCAGAGGGAAAGGAGAAAGGGAGACTGAAAGAGGACTCTGGAAGAAAAGGGTGAATCAGTCATTCACAAAAGCTCGCCAGGCAGACAACAAAGTATAAAAGTGATCCCTTCAGACTACAGTCTAAATCTCACACTCAAACTTTCAAAGAGGATATTTACACATCTGTGAATGAAGAGGGAATATTTTCTTCCACCCACTTCAAATCTTCATCCTGCAGAAACAAATATTTAAATTCATTAGCATTTGCTTGATATCACCTGAAAACAGAATTTTAAAACAGGACACATACAACATTTAAGTGGATGAATTCAAATGTATGACATTCTTTTCATTCCATAGAAAGTTGGCACTGATGCTACCCAGGAAAGATGCCAGTCATTTCTTAACGAGGCAAATATCTAGATTGTTGTACTTCTTGGCTTTAGTTAGGTGCAAGTGTTACTGTGGGGGCTGGAGTGATAGCACAGTGTGCAGGGTGTTTGCCTTGCACATGGCCAACCCGGGTTCGATTCCCAGCATCCCATATGGTCCCCTGAGCACCGCTAGGAGTAATTCCTGAGTGAAGAACTAGGAGGAACCCGAATATCGCCAAGTATAACCCAAAAAGCAGAAAAAAAAAGTGTTACTGTGTGTTTTGCTGTGTTTCCAAGGAGCAACTTGGTCACTTCTAGGCTGTGTGAAGGGTCTATGTGCAAGGCATGTGTGAACCATTTGAGTCACATCCCTGGCTGAATGGAGGCATTTTGGGGAGGGGAGGGTGGAGGAGGGAAGGGGCTTCGAAAAATGACAGTAAAAATACAAAAAACTGACTTATAAGACAGAAAATAGAAAATTTATATTGATTTTTGTGCACTCTGCTTACACAACCCCTAATTTGTTCAAATTTTATACAATAAATTTAAAATTTAACAGAAAAAATAGAACAAATATGTCAACTGTGCAAAGGTCTATTTTCATCATTAAATGATCAATTCACTTTAGGAGCCAAAAATGTAAGCTGAAATGATTTGCTTTTTATTTATTTATTTTCTTTCTTTTTGGGTCACACCCGATGATGCACAGGGGTTACTCCTGGCTCTGCGCTCAGGAATTACCCCTGGTGGTGCTCAGGGGACCATATGGGATGCTGGGAATTGAACCCGGGTCGGCCATGTGCAAGGCAAACGCCTTACCCGCTGTGCTATTGCTCTAGGCCCCATGATTTGCTTTTTAAACCAAAACTTCTTTATAGTTCTCTCACTGCAAAACAGAAAAATCAGCATTTTTAAAAAAAAATATTTGTTTCTGTTTCGGAGCTACTCCTGGCTCTGTACTCAGGAATTACTCCTGGCAGTGCTCAGGGGACTATATGGGATGCCGGGGATTGAACTCAGGTCCACTGCATGCAAGGTAAGTATGTTACCCACAGTACTATTATCTTTCTGCCCCACACTCAGCAATATTCTGGGTATTTCTGTGTATAGTGTAAATAAAATGTTTGTCTTTTACCTGCCTCCGTGGAATATTCTAGCTCTAATGAGAGTCACCCCTCACTTTCTTCAAAAGAGAGGGACTGATGGACAACTTGGCCAATACTACTAGAACGTCAATTCTCAGTTTCAAGTAGAAATAAGCCACAAGGATGATTCAAATGGACATTAAAGGTTAAGCAAATTTACTGCAGTAAAAGCTAATGCATAGCTTTGCAGCATTTTAAAGTGACTTTTAAGTCAATTCATATATACATCTGGATCATCTATGCAATCTGTGTGGGGAAGGCCTGAGACTCATTTCTAATGAGTTTCCAGGGGATGTTCCCACAGCTGGCCCAAGAAGAACTCTTGAGAAGCAACGATGCATAATCACAGTTATCACTAAATTACCGTCACTGCCTGCTACCACTAGAAAATCTTAACAAAAACAAAACAAAAAACCCACAGAAGTTTTCGTGATGTTGAATAAATGTGACATGTACAGACTTTTAAAGTGACTGATAACTGATATCCTACCATACATGGAATACTCACAAAATTATCAGAAGTAGCAGGTTTAGCTGTCCCATTGGAAAGTGCTTTTGACGCTCGTAATTTCATTCCTTCAGCTATTATGAGAAACAAAGATTTACATATAAACATATGAAGCAAGAGCATTTTCTTCATAGTCTCACATTTAACAATCAACTAAGGGAAAATACTACACATTCATATTTCTAGCTATATCTTTTTTTCTTAATTTTTTTTTTTTTTTTTTGCTTTTTGGGTCATACCTGGTGATGCACAGGGGTTACTCCTGGCTCTGCACTCAGGAATTACTCCTGGCAGTCCTCGGGGGACCATATGGGATGCTGGGAATTGAACCTGGGTTGGCCACGTGCAGGGCAAACGCCCTACCTGCTGTGCTATCACTCCAGCCCCAGCTGTCTTTTTTTAAAGGCAAGTTTCTAACACTCCAGCCCCAGCTGTCTTTTTTTAAAGGCAAGTTTCTAATAGGTGCGCTGGGTGAGTGTTAACTTTAACCACTTAAAAATGCAGAGGGAGTATCTTCTCCCCTGGCAGCAATCAACCACAGGATCTGAGAACTTGACGGTAGTCAACACTGTGGCCAGCAGTACACGGCAGCAGCTGTTCTGTGCACAGGTGGACTCCTGGTGGGCTTTGGGGACCACATACATGTGTGGGGGTTGGAACCGGGGTAGGCCAGGTGTAAGACAAGAGCCTTATTTACTGTACTGTATCTTTGGCCCACTTTTTTTACCTTTGAAAAAAATCTTTTGGTTTCACTGATTTCCTCTGTTGGTTCTGTTTTCAATTTTGTGGATTCCTGCTCTTAAATTTCCTACTCTACTTTGATGCTCCAATGAGGCTTTTCCTTCTCAGGATCCTTTTTTGGGGTTCTCCATTAGATGGAGTACCAATTCCCACGGCGTTCAGGAGGCCAAGTGATGCAGGGATCAAACCCAAGGCCTTGTACTTGAGCCAAATTCCAGCCCCCTTTTTTTAATTCTTGGAGAGGAGATTCTTGAAGTGAATTATGTATTCAAGAATATTTCCTTTCTTGGGGCTGGAGCAATAGCACAGCAGGTAGGGCGTTCGTCTTGCAAGCGGCCAACCCAGGTTCGATTCCCAGCATCCCATATGATGGTCCCCTGAGCACCACCAGGGGTGATTCCTGAGTGCAGAGCCAGGAGTAACCCCTGTGCATCACCGGGTGTGACCCAAAAAGCAAAAAAAAAAAAAAAAAGAATATTTTCTTTCTTAGCATTTTATACTATTGAACGTCTGTCTTAAAAGTGTCTTAGATATTTTCCAGGGGCTGAAGAGACAGTATTGTGGGGAGGGTGTTTGTCTTGCATGCAGCTGACCTGCATTTGATCCGCAGCACCCCATATGGTCCCCTGAACACTGCCAGGATTGATTCCTTAGGGCAGAGTCAGTCAGGAGTAGTAACCTGCAAGCATGGCCAGGTGTATCCCTGCATCCAATATTATTTTACCATTTTTTTTCCCTTGATAAATGAGTTGTCTGATTAAACCATGGAAGAAGAATGTTTTGTTTAACTTCTAAGCATATGGAAAACGTCATAGTATTTATTTCTCTGTTACTGGCTTACAGTTTAATTTTTTTAAAGTCAGAGAATATATGAGTTAAATTCTGGGGAGGAAATGAGCTCAGTGGATAATCCAGTGCCCGCCAGGCAGGTGCACAGCTCAGAATTCTGTAGTTCCAGAGACATCAGAAATTTTCAGGCCCCTGTGGCTGGTGGGCAGAGGAGGTGAAGAGGGTGGGCCCACTGCACCCAGCTACTAAGGAGAATGCGCAAGCACCACAGTCAAGACTCCTGGTCTCGGGAATGCGTGCGTGTGGGCCCATAGCGACCCCCTGGGCACACCCAGCATGTTCGAGAGCACCAGAGCTACAAGAGTGTGGTTCCCTTGAGTGTGTGAAGGACCAAAATGGCAAGTGATCCTTGCGTACATCACAGACTTTCTTAAAGGCCTGTGCGAAGGGTCCACGTGCAAGGCATGTGCTGAACCACTTGAGTCACATCCTTAGCTGAATGGAGGCATTCATAAATTCGTAAATACTCAACTCCTACTGTTGAGTATTTAGGCCATATGCATTTTATATAATTATTAAAATAGTTAAGGCTAATGGGGCTGGAGTGATAGCACAGTGGGTAGGGCATTTGCCTTGCACGCGCCAACATGGCCGATACAGGTTCGATTCCCAGCATCCCATATGGTCCCCTGAGCACCGCCAGGAGCAATTCCTGAGTGCATGAGCCAGGAGTAACCCCTGAGCATCGCCGGGTGTGACCCAAAAAGAAAAAATAAAATAGTTAGGGCTAAAGCCTCCCACACTGTGTTTTGATTTTAGCTATTTGTCCCTAATGTCCTACTCCTTTCCTATTTCTTTAAGATTAGTAATGTTTTAATATTCTCTCTTCTCTTACTAATTTTGTTTTAAATCTGTTTCTATATGTTAAAACTGGATCTCTACAGTCTTGAAAATATCTTTTGGTTTATTAAAATCTACTTAGAAGAGCTGTAATATAGAGCTGATTTCCATTATACCTTCTATCTTAATAGTTCTATGTTATAGCCTAATATACTCCTATGTTATAGATCTCAAATTTTTATTCTTGCCATAAAGTCAACTTTTAAAAGATAAATGAAAAAAAAGGGAAGCACTTTGTACTTATCCTAGTATGTCTTAATTTCAGTGTTCTGATTTATTCTTTATTCTTTAGAACTGTATTTCAAACTTACAGCGTTCCTCCTCTACAGTTTGAAAAACTACTTTTAGCCTTTCTCCTGCTGCAGGCATGTTAATGACCAGCGGCTGTGGGGCTTCCTGAGAGTCTGAGACTCTCTTAATAGTCAGGACTCTTGAGTCATACCCAGCGATGCTCAGGAGTTACTCCTGGCTCTGCCCTTAGGAATTTCTCCTGGCAGTGCTTGGGGGACCATATGGGATGCTGGAAATTGAACCCGGGCCGGCCGCACGCAAGGCAAATGCCCTACCCGCTGTGCTATCGCTCTAGCCCCAGGACTCTTTTAATAGTCAGGATACTGGGCTGCTCCCCAGTGCTTTCAGATAATTAAACAACCAAACAAACAATTCTGGGGCCCTGTGGATGGCTCTAAGGACTAGAGAGCATATTTTCCAAGTGAGAGACCCAAGTTCAACTCCCAGGTCCGTCTGGTTACGAAAGCACCATTGGGCATGACCTCTAAGCATGCAACGGAGTAGCCCCCAAACATTACCAGGGGTAGACACCTCCTTAAAATTCTGCCCGAAATCTACATTAGCTATGTATAACATAATTCACCCCACCATTACTGGAACAAAAACCTTAATACGCTGCACTTTTAGTATCTTTGTCATTGTAAGTTTTCCATATTTCCTTTAACAGGAAAATTCAATATTTTCTTTTTCTTTTTTTATTGTGGCCACACCAACAGGAGTCAGACTTATTCATGGATTTATACTCAGGGACCACTCCTGGTGGGGCTGAGGAACCCTAAGGGATGTTGGGGATCAAACCCAGGCCAGTCACGTGCAAGTCAAGTTTCCTACCAGCTATATATCTTTTGCCCAAAATAAGATAATATTTAAGAGAACGGTTGCAAGATGAGAGGAGATTGAAAGAAGGAGGGGGTCACTGAATACACTAATTACATGACAATCAGATTCTAAAATTTTCACATATTTTAGAGAAGCAAAATGATTGTAGAAAAGAATGTTGCTGTTAAGAGAAATCAAAGAGGAAGGCAAATGAATAAAGATTAAAATCACTCTCAATATCTGATTTCCTTATTAAAGTATCTTAAATGCTAAACTAGAGAACTATGACAAAACTGAAATACGATGTTTCATAGAAACTCAGAGAAAAGATAAAAACAGTCCTTACAGTCACAACTAGAAATGCTTCGGTGTGACCAGGAAATTACAGTTATGCATCGTATGGAAAAAGAAAGAAAAGAACCACAGAAAGTTAGCTATAATCATTAACCATATGAGCATTATTTAGAAGCTAAGCACAAAATGTAGTAAACTGTTTTTGTGTAAATGTGTACTTACCTCAATACTTAGATTTAAAAGCAAACAAGTAACGGAAGTTCAAACTACTTTCATAATCCTGAGATTTTAATTATTGAATTTTCTTTGTGATTTTTAAGAGGATTTTACAGAGACAGCTAAATATTTTTATGGTGATGGTGGGGGGAAATGTAAATGAACCTGCATTATAGCTAAAGGTACAATATTTCTGGTATAATACATCAAAACATTTAAAACAAAATAACTTACTTAAATTTTCAGAAGTTACCATGAATTCTTCGATTTCATCATCAGAATCATCTATTAAGGGCATGAAGGCATATCTATATCAAAGACAGAAAAGTAGTTTTACAAACTGAAATCCAACCATGAACAACCTTGTAACTGTATCTCACTGTGATTCAATAAAAAAAATTGCTTTTTAAAGGTAGTTTTACTAGCATGTTTAAACCTGTTCAACTTTCAGTTGGTATCAGAATCATAGCACTGCATTGTAGCACTGTCTGTCCGTTGTTCATCGATTTGCTTGAGCGGGCCCAGTAACATCTCCATTGTGAGACTTGTTGTTACTGTTTTTGGCATATCGAATACGTCACGGGTAGCTTGCCAGGCTTTGCCATGCGGGTGAGATACTTTTGGTAGCTTGCTAGGCTCTCCAAGAGGGGCGGAGGAATCAAACCCTGGTTGGCTGGGTCAGCCGCGTGCAAGGCAAATGCCCTACCGCTGTGCTATCGCTCCAGCAGTAGCATATAAAAATGCCACCATTTTCAAACTTTCTCATAAACTGAAATAATAAAATTTAATTACTTCACTGTCAAATGTGGAAAAATTATTACAAAGAAGCTATAGCTACTGCTACTCCCCATTACTAAAGGTAAAAATCTTTCTGGAAGCCAATTTGCAACAAGTAATGTCCAGGGAAGGAGCCTCCACCTGCCTTTTTTGTTTGTTTTTGTGCCAAACTGGCAGAGCTTCAAGCCTTACTCCTAGCTCTGTGCTCAGGATCATTCCTGGCAGGTCTGGGGTTGAACCCGGATCAGCCGAGTGTAAGGCAAGTGCCCAACTTCCCAGCCCATTGTACTACTTCTCTGACCCCTCCCCAAGATCTTTTTGTGGGATGGATACACCACCTCCCCAGGCCTGTAACTTTATACATCTATTTCATTGTCTAGCACTTGCTGTTTGTCTCTCTTCTTAAAAGTAAGGACTACTACTCTATCATTTCTTTTTTTTTGCTTTTTTGGGTCACACCCAGCGATGCACGGGGGTTACTCCTGGCTCTGCACTCAGGAGTTACTCCTGGCGGTGCTCAGGGGACAATATGGGATGCTGGGAATCGAACCCGGGTCGGCAGCGTGCAAGGCAAACGCCCTACCTGCTGTGCTATCACTCCAGCCCCTACTCTATCATTTCTACAAAGGTATTTTTTAGCAAACACTTGCTGAATAGTAATTTTCCTGTCTTAGTTACCTCTGATTATTTGCTGATGGTCTCCACAAAAACATTATTACAATAAGGATAAGTGAAAACAGGAAACTCCAAAATGCATCGTCAACCCAGCGTTCCATCCAATTCTATAATAAGGACAATTCAAAATGCGAAAAGTTAATTTTCTGATAAATACAAAGATTGAGCATTCAAACAGTGTAAATATATATCCAACCCTAAGACTTCCATATATGTTTCTTTCAAGAAATATAAAACCTAAGAGATGCTATCTTTATAAAATCAGCATGAAGACTTACTTCATCCTAAAAATCAAATCAATAAAATCCTAACATAGTTTCATGAAAAGAATTAGCTAAAAAGAAGGGCAGTAGGAGGGAACCTCGGAACACTGGTGGAGGGAAGTTGTCACTGGTGGTGGGATTCGTGTTGGAACACTGTATATCTAAAACTCAACTATGACTTCGTGAATCATGATTTTTGTAAAACATTGTCCCTAACGTCCTTCCCCTTTCCTGTCTCCTTTAAGATTAACAATGTTTTAATATTCTCTTCTCTTACTGTTTTTTGTTTCTATGTTTTAAAATCTGATCTCTACAGACTTGAAAATATCTTTTGATTTATGAAAATCTACTTGGAAGATAAGTAAAAGTAAAAAACTAAGTAAAAAGACAAGTAAAAAAAAAATCAAGAGTTCAAAAGGGTCTGAGAGGTCACTTAATCTCTATTCTCTAAACAAAAATCACAAGGCAGAGTTAAACTTAAACTGACAAAGGGCATTTTTTTTTTCACATCACGACATTATAAGATCCAAAAATCTCAAGGTGGTTTTTCCAAAAAGGCTTCTAATAGATTCTATTTATTTATTTATTTATATTTATTTTTTTTGCTTCTAATAGATTTTAGATTGTTGAAAATAGATCTAATGAATCTTTAACACAATAACTACTCCCACAAAACTGGAGGGTTAACAGAAATATTTAGAAAACAACTAAAAATCTAAATCATACATATACTTAGAATCTCATGTGAAAAGTATTATGGGGGGAAACAGAAAAAAAAAACATATCCAGTGCCTTCTCCTACAGTTCTGGTTTTTTGAGTCATACCTGACAGTGCTCAGGGTTTACTCCTGGCAAGCTTGGGAGACCCAATGCAGTGCTGGGGAATAGAACCTGGATTGGCTGCATGCAAGGCAAGTGCCCTACCTGCTGTACGATCTCAGCCACTACAGAGGGCTTTAAAAATGTTCAAATAGAACTAGAGAGCTCTCCCACTCCTGACACCACCAGACAAAGAGACTTTTCCAGCTTAAGTCTAAGGAACACAGCAACGCATCATCGTTATCATCTCCTGCTGAGAGGGATCACTGCTCAGGAGCTCTGCAGTGCTCAGAACAAGCACACTATCCTGGAAACAAGTTCAATGTAGAGTTCACAGACCCACTCCAATATACCAGTCTTATGGGGGATGGGAGGGAAATAGGTTCTACTATCTAAAATGACACAGAGAACTAGAGAAAGGACACAATCAAAAAGGCAGATCTGGGAGGAAGTTTCTGAATGGAGGCAATGCTTTTAGATTATAATCCTACAGAAAAGAATTTCTTCTTCTTATTGGGGGGGGGGGGTCATACCCTGCAGGAAGGACAGGGGTACAGAAGCAGCACACTCAATGTCTAGCACATGCTCTGCCCCCTGAGACACATCCCTGATCCTCTATCAAAGAAATTTAAAAGGAAACAAGATCTCCCTAAAATTATTTTCATTTACAAACACAAATTTTTTTTAAGATTACACAAAGCAGTGGAATTAATGGAAACTGTGTAATCAGAGAGATCATACTTACCGATAGACATTTTGCAATTCTAAATGTCTTAGTTGTCCACACCATAAATACTATGGAAGCTGAAACAAAAACCAAAACAGTCAACTTTTTTGTAGAAGTAACATGCAACACGAAAATAATTTATGGCTGTAAGAAAAATCAAATTGCTTACCGAGTACTGCAAAGATCAGAGTATTTGTAAAGTGCCTGTATAAAGAAAATTTCACTGTGTTCTTTCTTAGCCTAAGAGTCTTCATAGTTTGAGCCAAACTTATAAAAATGTGGGAAAAGTTAAGGAAAAAACATTTCAGTAACAAACAGTTAAGATAATAAAATACAAAGGACTCTTCTGTATTTCTAAAATGAGTACTACGAAATAAAATCTAAGCCACATACATACTGAGAGCATAATCACAGTCAACATTTCGTCAACAACCATGATACCACCATACATCTTGCTTTACGATTTCCCACTGTTTGAAGAAAATCGGCCTCATGCTCCTCCTGTCCCAAGCTCCTGGTCCCCCAATGGGCGAGCCTTCCTTAGAGGTCACATCAGGACCTGCCACATGGCCCAGGCCTCCCGGCTCTGCTTCTTGGTCTTTCAAACGTCCTGGTCTGGGGCTGGCTTTATCCTCTGAATGGCACCTCACAGAAGGTGGCACTAAGCAAGGTGATCTATCAGTTTTCTTTTATACATTCAAGAAAGAAAATGAAATGAATATGGAGCCAGTTAGACTAGGAGAAACTTGACTGCAGGAATTACTGCAATAGACTCAGCGAAACAGGAAGAATGCTGGGTGGGAATGTTCAGATTCTGCAAGGGTCTCCAAGGCCAGACACGAGAGGTGAGCTAAGAGTAAGTGGGACCAGGAAGCAATAGTGTGGGAGTCAACAAGTGGGGGAGTCGAGAGCCTGGCCTCAGTGCTATGGGAGAGTGAGGTCCTGGGAACCCCAACTTCTGGCAGGGCAAGGGCTGGGGTCTTCCTAACTATGGCTGTTTTCCAAAAGCATGGGGACACATTCAAGGTCAGGACTGTCAAGCATAAGAAAACACTATGAGGCCTCTCCACGGACTCCACAGCAGTGGTGCTGGGGTCCGATCCAGACTTTTCCCCAGTTTTCCCTTGGGAGCGATAGTATAAGCAAGAAGCAGTACTCAGGAACCACACATTGAAAATAATGGAGTTAAGCAAAAAATAAAAAAGTGACAAATTTTTTAGTCCTGCTTCCGATTTTAAATTCCAATGACTTCATTGATTAAATTTAAAAAAAAAAAGATTTAACTAATCAAATGAAAAACTTCACTTCAGTACCACAGCGTACCAAAACTTTTCCCTCTTCCTAACTGCTGGTGAGTTGCAAATGCAGATCGTCTCAAAGAATACAATTCACTTAAATCTTCAGTCCTGACAAACAATGGTTTATTCATTAAACATTCACAAGACAAAACTTAAAAAAAAAAATCTTGTCTTCAATCTATTTTCTGCATTAAAGATCTAGTCTCATTTAATTATTCCTAAGTTTTTAAAACCAAGGAGTAAGGAGAGTAAAAGCAAATTCCAGCAGCCTTAACTTACCAAGATGCCTTTCACTTTAGGTCAAGTTTCAACCATTTCTCCTACAAAGGGAAAGCAGCCACCAAAGCAAGCATGCCCTGTCCTCCTGGGCGAGAACCACAGAAAAGGATATCCACCAGCACAAGCCAGAGTCAAGGAGAGAAAGAGGGAGGCTGGTCAGAAGCACAAGATCAGAATCATTTGCCTGCAGCAAAACAACAAAACAAACACAACCAAAATAAGCAGGAAACAAAATTCTATGGCTTTTGAATAGGGAAGGGGAATAAGTGGGGGTGGGGTGGGGGGGAGGTGTTATATTTTTTTGTTGCTTTAGAATTTGATTCCTATAGGGTTAGGCATATAGTTTACCAAAGTCAAGGGAGCAGAGGCCAGGGACGGGGCTCAGGAGCAGGGCACACACCTCATTTGGGAAGTCCTGGGCTGGATCCCTGGCACCCCACACACATACACTCACATATTAGGCCTAGGGAAACAGCACCACCTGTCCAGCACCTGTGTTGTGTGGGCCTCAATGAAGAGTCCTCATCCCACACACCCATGTGTGAGCACCGCAGAAAAAGGATGCAAGCCTCAGTGAGCACTGCAAACTGTGGCCAGCCACGGGCACGTATTCAGTGATGTCAACAGCAGTGAAGGGTAGCAGGGAGGAAATGAAATTTACAATATCCAAGCAAGGGGCCAGAGAGAGAGAGAGAGAGAGAGAGAGAAAGTACAGTAGGTGGGGAGCGTGCCTTGCTCGTGGCTGACCCAGGTTTGATCTCCGGCACCCCAGGTGGTCCCCATAGCCCCAGAAGTGATCCCGGAGGGCAGAGTCAGGAGCAAGACCTGAGCACTGATGGGTGTAACCTCCTATCCCCCATCACACTCACACTCTGCCAAATACATGCCACCGGCAAGTGGGCCTAAGGCATTGGACTCCCCAGAGGCTTCCGAGATGGACACTGGGGAGGGTGAAGGCTGGGGGACACGTCTGCTGCTGCAGGACTGACTTCTCCCCACAGGAGGAATGATGGACTGCACATCCTGCTGTAAAATGTACTTACTGCAGATCCGAATTTCAACAAGAGAGCAAAACTCACACAATTTGTAATAAGTGTGTTCAAAATGTGAAACAGTTTGGCAGGCCCAAGCCTTGTCAGCACTCTAACATAATAGCAGTGTTTACTGGCACAAAGTGTCAGCACTGCACTCTTGTTGAAATTCCGAAAAGAAGTACAGGGCGCCTCAGACCTGTGAGCAGTGCAAGCAGCAGTGTGTTTGGACCGGAAGGAGGCGGGGAGGAGGAAGGTGGATGGAAAGTTAACGCTGCTGGCGTTGTACTCTGTCTTACAGAAGACAAAGGAGCAGAGGAAGCGCCGGGGCACCTCCCATCCCAATTCCTCCTCAACTCTTCCAGAGAAGGACCAGCACCACTCAAAGCCCCATCACCATGGCCCCGCAGCGGCCAGCACAAAATCAGCAACTTGAGTCCAGAATAAGAGCAAAGGCTGTGGAAACAGAGACATAAATCCTCTGCTACAATTCAGAATGAAACTCCAAAGAAAACGCCCAAATTGGAAGCTAAGTGAACTCATGGAGATAGTAGCTCTAGAAATCAGTCAGTGGGGAAGGGATAATTTTGTCCTCATTGGCCTGCAGAAGGAGGAGGTGCTACCCCTGAAGCGCCTCCTGCAGCAGCGGGACTAGACCATTCTGGAGAAGGATAAGAAGCTGACGGAGCCAAAAGTAAACTTGCAGGAGTCGAACTTAAAGAACCAAGATGACAGTATGGAACGGCTCTCAAAGAAACTGTGGACCAGCCTCAGGCCAAAAATAGGACTTCTCAAACAGGTTGCAGCATTGTCAAAAGTGGAAGCCTTCTAACATCCCCTTGAGAGGATAGTGATTGATATGGTGCTTCTGCTGAAAATATCCATTTGACAAGTCTCATGAAGTTCCTAAATTCTGTGTAGTGGAAAAATATTTTTACACACCAAGTGAACCAGTGTGTTTCCTGTTCACTTTTGTGACTAATATACAGCATTTTAAAAGTTGTGAAACAGTCAAATGAAACTTCAGCGGGTTTGAAGTAACTTTATACTTGTTGCATTCCCAGGAACTATTTTGCCATCGATAGTATTAGCAGTTGTAAAGGACAGCGCTCCCTGCCACTGCAACATGCAATAAGGGAAGCAGGGGCCCAGAAGGCAGAGAGCTTTGCCTTTGGTTTCACACTATGCTAATTTCAGATAAGCAGTTTTGAATTTAGAAATACAGACTTTTCAATAAGGAAAATGGTGAACACTTTTTGGCAATTGTTTTAATGTTTATTGTACAACATATGAGGTAAGATGTGTCTTGTACAAACTACTGTGGATTTTTACTTACAAGTGCCTCTTTGCCACCTAATGTTTTAATTTATAGGAATGCTGATCTTTTGTACATAGTTTATATTAAAGTCATGTTTAATAAAAGTATATAAGTGCGTATGTACAAAAGTCTATTCTTCCTTTCAAAAGGAAGTCAGAATGACTAGAAAATGTTTGAGGTTGCATTCAGAAGTGATAACTATAGAATTTTATAGTCACCTTTTCCCTGAATTTGCTGTCAAGTGGCTTTACTGAGTATTCTTCCTAGACTTTATGTGGTCCTGGGGTCAGTCTGTGACATGGAAAGCTGTTGGTCATAGAAATCACTTAATTATGTCACAGTACTTTCCCTGGGACTGTATGTGTACACATCTGACTACTGACATTTTGTACATTTTCCCCCCTAAATTCAGTATTTTGTAATAAAAACTCATAAAAAAAATACAACCTAAGGATTCCATTTCTTGGCAACTACCCCTCAACCACAGACATCAATTTGAAAGGATATATAAATGCACATCTACATTCACTTCAGTGCTTAGTACAATAGCCAAGATATGGAAAACCACTTAAATATCCCAATATAGTTGAATAGGTCAGAAGTTGTGATATCTATATACGGTGGAATACCATGCAGCTTTGAAAAAGGAGAAAATCCTGCAATTTACAGCAAGATGGACGGAACTAGAGGATATAGTGCTGAAGGAAAGTGACAATGCAGAACAATCTCTCTCATGTCTACGGCTTAAAGATACACAGCAAAGCAGCAGCAAATGGTCAAAGGAAAAAAGACCACTTGCATGGAATGGGGAGGGCTGAAAAGGGAGGGGCCTTGGGGACTTGAGGGAGGATGGTGTGTATACTGGTGGTGGGTGTGGTGTTGGAACTATATGCACACAAAAGGTTCATCATCAAAGTACTGTAACTGACAGTACCTCAATTAAAAAAAAAAGATCCTTATACCACCTATGGTCACTTCCCCATAGCACTGGCAGGGGTGCCCCCTCGGCACCAAGTGAGCAGAGTGAGGCTGTGGCCCAGCATCCCTCACCCCAGCTTAAAACAAAAACTAAAAAATTACCCTGCAGTAATCTAAAGTCAAAGAGATGAAATTCAGGTTAAAGCAGAAATTCAGATAAAATAGAAATGAATTTTCTCTCTAAAAAAGCTACCAAGATCTGTCAAATTCCTAAGCTTCTTTCTTACACGTCTTTACTAAAAATATCAATATCAAACACACACAATATTTGGTAATCTTCCTTTTCTCTTCACTCTTACCTGGTTCATCACAGCTCAGAACAGACCATAGCCATAAATGTTCCAATAGATAGAAAATTACCTCATTCAAATCTAGAGGGAATTAGAATTTTATAGTCACCTTTTCCCTGAATTTGCTGTCAAGTGGCTTTACTGAGTATTCTTCCTAGTAAATACGTTGTGAATGGTTAAGAACAAGGTATCTTTGAAATACATTATCTGTAAGTAATTATCTAAAAACACTAAATTTATCCAATACTTAAAACTAAAATCATTTAAAGGACATTATCCAAAAACATTAAAAATGTGAAAAACGTTGTCTACAGTTCAATTCACTCCCTAAGGTGTGAAAGGTTCTACTAGTACACACAATCTAGGAAAACAGACAATACTTGCTTTTGGCTGACCTGGGTTCAATCCCTGGCACTACAAAAGTTCCCCTAAGCTCTGCCAGGAGCGATCCTTGAGTGCAAAGGCAGGAGCAAGTCCTGAGCACTGGTGGTTGTGGCCCCCAAACAAAAACAAAACATAAAAAATCTGGATTCTCAATTATCAAGAGAAGAATGGTTTCTTCAGTAAGTTCAGTCAGATACCACTCTTTAAGTCAGGCAAGCAGCCTCAACACCGATGACCCACGGACATCCTTCATTGTATGAGGTCTTTGTGTGGGGTCTGGGAAAGGAGGTTTCACAGTCTCCCTTCAGAGTTTGTTTTTTTGGGGGGGGTTTTTTGGGTCACGCCCGGCAATGCACAGGGGTTATTCCTGGCTTATGCACTCAGGAATTAGTTCTGGCGGTGCTCAGGGGACCATATGAGATGACGGGAATCAAACCCGGGTCGGCCGCGTGCAAGGCAAATGCCCTATCTGTTGTACTATTGCTCCAGCCCCTCCCTTCAGAGTTTCAAAAGATCTCTGAACCCTGCTGTCCACAACTGGTGAAAGATCGTGGTAACAGATAAGTCCACACTAACACGTTTTTTTCTGGGTGTGCTCTGAACTTGGAAACAGAGGAAAGAATTTCACAGCCAGGACAGCAAATGCAGGGTCAGACTGGAAGGAGAAACTCCATCACATGGCAGTCAGCAAAGGTAGTGAGTATTCCTTCCAGAGAAGGGACGACAGGGGCTGCTCAGTTGAGCCAGCAAAGGCGGATCTCCCTTTCCAGAGGGGTGATCTTAGGTGTAGAGAAGGAAAGAAGCACAAGGAAAATCAAAGCTAAATGCGGGCAGAAACTGAGAGACAGGTTTCCAAGACGACACCAATGGAGATGAGAGAACTGAAATGACGTCTTGCTTTCTGCCGCAAACCAGGACTTATCCCTGAGATCGCCTCCCACTCCTGTGAATCTGGATGTTATTAGCAGGGCCTGCCATGGAGAAATGATGGAATTTCTCAGGTTCAACTGGACTCAAGGGATCAGCAAGGAAGGTACTCAAGGACTGGTCAACACTGACCGGAAAACTCCAGCGGTAACCCACTTCCTTCCCTGAAGTCACTTTCTTACTGTCTTGTGGTATCCTCTGGAAGAAACAGGTGAACCTTGGTAGTTAGTTCACCTCAGCAGCACTGACCACCTCTGACACCCACCCTCTTACTAAACGCTCTCAGCCTCTCCCATGACAAGTCTCCTTCTACCAACCTCTCTGCCTCACTGGGCACCTTTCAGCTTCTCATCCCTCCCATGACAAGTCTCCTTCTACCAACCTCTCTGCCTCACTGGGCACCTTTCAGCTTCTCATCCCTCATAAACTCGTACTGTTTCCAAGACTGCAATCTTCTCTCACGAAACGTTACTTCCAACTTTTAGCATCGGTTCTGGTTTCCCCTGCCAACCCGGACTGGGATTTCCAACTCTCTTCATCAACTGAGGCTTTGCAAAGCTCAACCCTTACTCATATGGTCCCCTGCCCAAGTTCCACACCTCAGGAACGACAACCTCACCCCAGCTACCCCATGTAACCCTCAGACCCATTCCTTAACCCTTCTTAGCTACTGTGAGTGACTCCTTACCGACAGTCCTCTTCCAATTCACATCTTGATGTCACCCTTGAGTTCTTTCTGACACAGACTGTTATGACTGATGCAGCTCTGATTTCTCTCTAAGTCAAAGTTCTTCAACCACCATCTGTGGACTGGTGCTGTCCGCAGGTGTGAAGAAGGCTGAAACCCACTGTTCTACTGCCTTGATTAGCACTGCCGATCCAAGGGCTACTACATAGCACAGATGCAGCTCCACCGAGGTAAAGTGGCTACAGAATGAGGCCCTTGAACATCTTTCTTTTATTTTCATAAATCATTTTCTGTTTGTACTATTAGTAGACACTAAGTAAACCAATGGCTGTGATACTCTGAATTTAAAGATGAAGAAAACTGCATGCAGCAGGATTAGAAAAATTTTCTAAAATTGCAAAGACAGAAAATTACAAGCACAGAATAAGAGCTTTGTGGAGAATTTTGCAATCATGAACAGAATACAGTATACATTTGAGAATTTGTAGCAAACTTTCAGAAAAAAGAAGAAATATTTCTTTTGACTGGTGTAATTACAATGTTTTGTCTTAGACTCTGAAAACTAGGAATAAAATTAGAAAATGTTGGTTCCATGTACTGGTTCTGCCTCACCTGACATAGGTACAGAGTCTTCATTTTTCAACAGGAAGCTCTCATTCTGTTGTTTTGGGGCCAGGGTACTAGGGACTACTCTCAGCTCAGAATCTGGAGAATGCACCTGGCAATGCCAAGATCAAAATGGGGCCCCTACATGCAAAGCATCCACTCAGGCCCTTTTGATCTCAAAGATGAAGCCACCTCCTTCAGGTCAAGGGCATGTTATTTGTCTTTCCTTTTCTGATTCTCCCTCAACAAAGGCCAGCTATTCTGGAACATTCTGCACCAATATACTTCTGCTTCCAATTATATATTCCCCTTGGTTCTTCCAAGAATGGCCTCTTTCCAAATTCTCTTTCTAGTAACAGCCCCCTCTGTCAACCCAGTCTGAATTCAGACATCTTCCTCTCCTGTGACTACTTTAATGGTAGTTATGCTAGAATTTCTATGCTGAAGAGGTATAGGGCCTCTTCCAAATGATGGTTATTTAGTTACAAACTTTCATGATTACGTTTTAGTCATACAATGATCGAGCACCCATCCCTCCACCAGTGCATTTTCTACCACCATTGTTCCCAGTATCCCTCCCACCTCCCCTACCCCATCCCACCCCGTCTCTGTGGCAGGTACAATCCTTTTTACTCTCTCTCTCTCCTTTTAGGCATTATGGTTTGCAGTACAGATACTGAAAGGCCATCATATTTGGTTCTTAGTCTACTTTCAGCACGCATCTCCCATCCCAAGAGATCCCTTCAATCATCTTTTACTTAGTGGTCCCTTCTCCATCCCAACTGCCTTTTCCCCCAGCACGTGAGATCAGCCTCCAAACGGCAGAGCAATCCTCCTGGCCCTTACCGCTACTGTCCTTAGGTGTTAATCTCTATTATGCTACTTTATATTCCAGAAATGAGTGTAGTCATTCTATGTCTGTACATCTCTTTCTGACTCATTCCACTTAGCACGATGCTTTCTATATCTAGTGATAGTTGTTTCTATATTGTCCCTAGTTGTCTACTGTCTCTCCCAGCAACAATTCCTTAAATGTAGAAACCATCTTTTTTCCCCTAAGCCTCTCTATATATGGAGACACATGTTGAGCTCTTAAATTGCTGAACTGAAAAATAAAATCACATATATGTGTATGTGTGTTCTTTGGGAAACTGCTGATTTTCCAGTTTCAACCAACAACAAAGCATAACTATTTCAATTACTATTACAAATGAACAGTAATATGATTTCAATGATACAACAATTATAGGACACAGTAAAGGATATGAACCACACAAATATGGAGTCAATAACTGCTAAGAGGATGTCACCCCACATAACTAAATGGTTAGAATCCTGGAAAATAAAAATAGGTAAACAGAGAACCATACTTCTAAAACTCTAAGATGCTACTGTGTAAAAATTCAAAGAAATATAATATATACATGATATCTGAATGTAGAATATTGATCTTTCCTGTCTCTTTTCTATCAAGAAATAGTTTCCTATAAAATGACACGTATTACATATAAAGGCACACATCATTTTTATATAAAGGTTCAATAAAGCAGTAATAGCCTCTTCTGCCGCAGCCAGAGCTGTGAAGAGCAAGTGTGTCTAATACAGAAACAGACAGTAGAAGAATAAGGAAACCTGAGCTGTGAAAGACCAATGCCCTGCTTTTTGGGTTAGAGCACAAGTAAATGTTATGTACAGCACAGACAGGCCACTGACTCTGGGCCTGGTGAAGCGCTTAATAGCCAAAGTCCTTCTGAGTGGGCATCACAAAGTTCTGTGAAGCAAATAAAATCTAGTAAGCTTTTTAACCACTCAGGCCTCAACCATGTTCTTGGGTCGCAGTCGGCTATACTCAGGGACCACTCCTGGCAGAGTTCAGAAGACCATATGGGGGTGCCGGAGCTCAAACCCAGGCCAGCCAGCCACGTGCAAGGCAAGCGCCCTAACCACTGTACTACTGCTCCTGACCCTCAATCACACTCTTAAGAAAAATCGAGGGCCAGAAAATGAGCGGTCTTCCCAGGCGTGATCAGTGCTCTGGCACTTCTCTACAGGGGGAGCACTGTGACGTGTGTCCCAGTCTTGTTCCCCTGGAACAAGACCCTAATCTTGGAAGAAGCTTCTCCTGCTTCTTCCAAGATTAGGGTCTGTCAACTCTCAAATATGTGAGGGCCACGGAGTCAGAGCAAACTTATACCCACTCAAGCACGAATGTGTAAACAGGTACAAATGCAAGAAGGGTTCAAATCATTTTCTACTGACTGCACACATGCTGGCATTAGGAGTTACAGAAGCAAGGAAAATGTTTGAGCTGCATAGTTACAAAACAAATGATTCGTGAAAAAAAAAAAAAAGAGGCAGGGCCTGGAGAAATAGTACAGCAGGTAGGATACCTGCCTTGCATGTAGCTGAATCAGGTTTGATCTTCGGTTCCCCAAGCACCAGCAGGAATAATTTCTGAGTACAGAATCAGGAGTAAACCCTGAGCACTCCTGGGTGTATCCCCCCCAAAGCAAAGATAAATAAGTAAATAAATAAACGAGAGGAAGCTAATGCCAAGGGTGACATCGGGGGGGGAAGCTTTATAATCAGCAACATCATTGAAAAAAAAAAGTACTCGATGGAGACTATGGTGTTGAGTCAAGTTAGTCAAAGGGAGGAGGACAAACACAGAATGATCTATCTCGAATACTTCCTAGGGGGAATAGCAAATGTCCAAAGGTAATAGAAACTGGGGCTGGAGCGACAGCACAGCAGGTAGGGTGTTTGCCTTGTATGCGGCTGGCCTGGGTTCGATTCCCAGCATCCCATATGGTCCCCTGAACACTGCCAGGAGTAATTCCTGAGTGCAGAGCCAGGAGTAACCCCTGTGCATTGCCAGGCGTGATCCAAAAAGCGAAAAAAAAAAAAAAGGTAATAGAAACAAGGAGCAGAAGAACTGGTCTTTGGAAGGCAGCTTTACCACTAGATTGGGGGTGGGAGGGGATAAGTTAGGGAAGGGAACACAAGGACAGTGGTGGAGGGGAAAGTGTCAGTCAAAGAGGGAGTATGTGTGTGTTGGGGGGAAGGCACATGAGGGAAAATGGGGCCACTGGTGAAGGGAAGTGGACACTGTGAGGGGATGGGTAATGAACATTGTATGCCTGAAACTTAATGAATAACCTTGTAACTCTTGTGATTCACAGTAGTTACATAACACATAAAATTTTTTTAAAAAAGCATGCAGTGTAGAATTTTAAGTTCGGAAAGGCTTAAAAAAATAGCAAAATAGTGAAGGGGGGAGAGAAACCCTCCAATAAAAACCTTTCTCATATTATTTCCGTGCTTTAAGGTTTCACCTCTAAACTTTAAGCGAGACATAAAATTTTGCTTTTCGTCACTTCTCCAGGCAACGGAAAGCAAAATTGTACTTCACAGCAATAACACACAGGAGCGGTGGTAGAATTAATGTGGCTTTACCCCAATGACTCTCATCACGCCTTCAATAGCTGCAAAGATGAGGTAGAGAACCCCCAGGCCAATCACCCGGTGCATGACCGTGCCGAGACGTGGCCTGGATGGGGAGGAGAGAACAGAGGGGAGCGGGAGGGGCGGGTGAGTGAACAGTCGACTGTTGGCCCCTGCAGTCCTTTTCCAGACTCTACTGACCCATCATAACCATGTCTTCTTTATAATCAAAATTTTAGGGGAACTGTTTCTGCGTCCTCAGGAGAGAGCCACCCATCCATCAAAAATGTTCTGATTTGGAGTTTGCCACCCTCTCCTCGCTGCCCCCATCTCCACGCCCTGTTTCTCAGGAGGCTCAGATACAATCATGAAAGCACGGTGCTGTGCAAGGAACAGGAAATGCTTGGAACTCTGAGCATCTCTTTTTGCTTGGCTGGTTTTTAGGACAGACCCAGCGGTGCTGGGGGCTACTCCCAGCTTGGAGCTCAGCTGCTAGGCAGCGCTTGAGGACCACAACAGTCCCAGGGAGGGCTGGGGGTGGGGTGGAGAACAGGGGAGCCTTGCACCTACTACATGTAAAGCCCGTGCTCTGGCCCTCTCAGCATCTCCCCAGCCCTCAAGCATCATTTAAAGGATGTCTGCAATCTTTCAAGGAGATTAATCCTCTGACTACACAAAGTCACTGGAACTCAAGTTCAGGGTCTCTATTTGAAGGTGGTTATCAAATACTCAGCACACGCAAATCCTTGTGAAATGTGCGCTTACAGCAATTTCTCTGCAAGACCTAGATTATGGTATGAATATGGTTCCCGCCATGTGCCAGTCATAATGTCAACGGCCAGGACCACAAGACTGCAGGTCCAGTCTCTTCACGCCCCAGGACTTACTTCACAATGCCGTAGCCCAGGCTCACGATGATCACCAGGAGACGGGCCAATGTCCTCTTCACGGCCGATATCAATTCCGCGAATATCAAGAGACTCTGGGCTAAGGAGGGAGATGGACAGTGATTCACTCTAGCACCAGGCCTGCCACCAGGCGTTGGAGTGTCTATCGTGGACAGCTCCATTCTGATTGTCTAAATCAGCCATGTTTGATTCCACAGTCACAGGGTCCAAATGACACTGACAGTCCCACTGAGGCAACTCATAAGCTCCGAAAAAATTCTGCCACTGGGCACAGGTGTCTTTTATCAATCTAAATTGGCCCCCCCAATTTCTAGTCTTTTTTCTTCTCTGTGGGCTGGAGCGATAGCACAGCGGGTAGGGCGTTTGCCTTGCACGCAGTCAACATGGCCGACCCGAGTTCGATTCCTCCGCCCCTCTCGGAGAGCCCGGCAAGCTACCGAGAGTATTCGATATGCCAGACACAGTAACAACAAAGTCTCCAATGGAGATGTTACTGGGCCCGCTCGAGCAAATCGATGATCAACGGGAGGGCCTTTACCTTTACCTTTACCTTCTTCTCTGTGAGGCTACAAAGAATTAGATCCATTTTCCATCCTGTGACTATTTTAAAACCATGTTAGGGCCAGAGCAATAGCTCAGCAAGTACAGCGCTTGCCTTTCATGCTGCTGACTTGGACTGGATCCTCAGCACTGCATTTGGTCCCGAGCCCCACCCCGAGTGATCCCTGAGCAGTCAGAATAAACTCTGAGTAATGCCAAGTGTGGCACCAAAATAAGAAAAATAAAGCCACAATGTCTTTGGGAGCATCAACCTTGGCCTCCTCGCAACCTTGTTTCTTTCTTGCAGTGGTCCCTCACATTTTGTGCTAAGGTCCCCCACATTTATACACTTTCAATCTGTATTGTCTTTGAAATATCCTGGGGGGGGGGGCTTTGGGGGGGCAGGCTCTCTGCACAAGAATACTGGGTGAAAACCACTGGTCTACTGAAGTGCTTACTGACCACTGGTCTAGGAGGCAGTGCACAGAACAGTGAAACTAGAGAAACAGCTCACAGACCACGAAGTTAGAAATAAACCCCTCATTTACCTATCTAAGTATCAGTATTCATAGCTAATACAACATGATCCAAGCATGCCATGTGTTAAGCACTAATATATTTAATTATCTTCTTTGGGTCACATCCAGTGGTGCTTACTCCTGGTTTTGTGCTCAGGGTTCTCTCCTGGCAGGACTCATGGGATGCTTTGCAGCGATGTGGTGCTATGGATTGAACTGGGGTCAGCCATGTTTATCTGCCTTACTGTTCCTCATCTGGTTTACTGAGAACCTATACACCAACATATACATCTTACCTCAACTTATAAACAGAAATAATATTCTTAATATACCTTCCTGGAAGTGAGTCCTTCTTTTAATCTTTTGTGCACGTCTTTTAAAATCTTTTTTGGTATTTTGGTTTTGGGGGTCCACACTTGGTAATGCTCAGGGCTTACTCCTGACAGGGTTCAGGGAATCCAAAAGGGTGCTCGGGGGCCGTGATTGGCTATGTGCACGGCAGTCACCTTACCTGCTGTACTATCTCTCTGCCCCCCTAAACTTTTCTGGGGGCAGGTAAATTACAAACATTCCCCAATATACTAAAAGCAGCATAATAAACCTCCGCACACCCACTATTCAGTGTCAATAATCACTCACAGACATGCCAACTCATTACCGGCCTCTGGAGGAATTTTATGACACACAAGTGCAAGCACGTCCTCTGAAAACGTGCACCAAGTTCATTTCCCAGTGGCTACTCAGCAGCCGTCATCGGCATCTCACACCTCTCCGGGCACTTGCCCTTTCCACACGAGCTCCCTCCCCCAGCGTGCCCCTTTCCTTCCGGCCCTTTCTCCATCCTACCTCCAAGCCCGAAGCACCTGGTTGAGGTGCAACTACCTGGTTTTCCTGCTTCGTGTGTGCCACCAGAACTGGTCATGGTGAGGGAGGATGGGGGGAGTTTGCAGCGATCACAGAGGGTCTTTGTAAGAGCAAAGAGCGAGATGCAAAGTGGTTGCAGATGCCGTCTGCCCGGCACTGCCAACTTGACTCCCTGTGGCCACATTCTCTGCCCTTTTCTGCAGATAACAGGAGCTGACCCCCACAGGTCCCTGTCCAGAACTTCACACTGGGCATTTATCACCCAAAGGCATGGGAATTTTCTTTTCCCCAGAAGGAAAAGAAAGACAAAGTTGAAACAAGGCAAACGGAAGATGAGGACCACAGACGTGCTGGCTGACATCAGAATCTGGCTCTGAGAAACACCTCCTGGGGTCCCTCTCCTTTATCATACTGATATCCCCAGCACACACCGCGTGAAGGAGGCGCCCCTCCAGCTGCACTCGCAAACGCCTAGAGCCCCTGAATTCACATTCACAGAGAGAGACTCGACTTACTTGATAGCCCCGTGCTGTTGAGATTTTGGTATTCACTATAAAACACTGCTTTTTCGAGCATTCCCAGGAAAATAACTGCAGCAATCCAGAACTGGATCCTTAATATATCTTTCCAGTAACAGGCAGACCACATCAGCCAGAGCACACCATACAAAATATACACTATACACATCACCATGTAAAACTGTAGGGAGAGAAACAATTCAATTAACCCTTTCTATAAGCAATAACCGATTGCTGTATTTTCTAGTTACTCAAACCAGAAATAGAAAGTATGTCAACGCTCTAGGGCACTAGTTTTCCAATTAAGATACAAAATATAAAAAAAGAAATTAAATAATGGCTTACTCACAATCATTAGCGGCCAATCTGATGCAGAGATATAGCCATGTGGCCCCTTCATAGAAAGAGACACTGATGAAGGTAAGAGTGGAAACAAAGAAATGAAAGAATTAGACACTGGCCTTTTAAGTCTTCAAGCATAACTTCACTTCCCAGAAGTAACAAACAATTGATTTTCACCCAGCACACTGGAAACTGGATAATGACTAGTGCCTGATGATATGCCATGGGTATCAAGATACTCTTGCCTATATAGGCGCTGGGAGAACACCCAGGTCAAATCCCCCCTTCCCAGAGACAGCACAAAAGTTCTGGCCTTAGAACTGCACCCCGCTGAAGTTCATGCCCAAGACCCTGACTTTCTTCACACAACTTGGGGGATGAATCACGGAATGTCAGCATGGGGGTGGGTTGTCATCTGAGAGAGCAATAGTAATGAGTGGCCAGCACAGGACAGACCCTGGTGCCAGGGCTCAGAGACTGGCCCAGCTATCAGCACACTACTGGTGTCAGAAAGAATCAATCCCGGAAGGAAGAGGGCACAGAGCTAGGCAGCAGAATGCCAGGGGCGCCCTCTACTGGCTGATGTCAGCTGCCCAGCCTTCTGCCAGGGCTGGCGAGAGAAGCCTGACCTGTGCAATGTACCTCGGTACCCCGTGGCTGAGTCAGAGTTATCTGCACACATCTGGGACCCTCACATGCTATCTGGGAGATAGGTCAAAGCAACCAGATGGTTCAAAAACATTCACCCTCTTGTTGTGGTCTGGGGAGATGACACAGAAGGCTGGAGATAAGACTCTGCATGCAGAAACCCGGGGTTCAACCCCTGGCACCACATAGTCCCCTGATCACAGTAGCAGTCAAGCCTGTTGTAGCCCCTAAGCACTGCTGGGTGTGGTCCTTCCCCTTAAACAAGGGGATTAATGGGAGCCTGTGAGGAATCTGCTTAATCTGGGGCAGAGAATAAACCTGGGTGGGGGAGAAGGGGTGGTCTGCTGGCAGGAGCCTGTGCCAGCGCTGTTGGGGAGAAAAAACTGCTGGTGCTTGATCCCCCCAGTCACTGCTGCAGCTTAAATGAAATCCAAGGGGGTGGGAAAGTCTACAAATTTGGTGGCTTTTGGGGGGGAGGGGGGTGTAGAGGGGGCTGACACATATTTACCTGTTCTCAGAGCTTGTGCTCAGGAGATCACTCCTGGCTCTGTGACTGAGCCCATGGATGGGCCTGGTCAGCTGCATGCTAACCGTCCCCACTGGACCACTGCTCCGGCCACAAATATAAATAGTTCTAAATTTACCTTAAGTCAATATTCATTTTCCAATCCATTATGTACACGCATACATATGAACGCATTAAGAAAGCAACTTAATCCCCCAAATAAACAAGATTATGAATTTTTGTGATAACAGATATTAATCTCCAGTGTGGAGTTTTAACACTGAATAGACTTAGATCAATGACAAGAACACAGAAAAGAACTGTGAGCAGGTTCGCAATTTTAGCATACCATTCAAACTCCAACTTGCATCTGTCCTGTCCGTTTTAATAGAAACAAGTAAGATATGAAACCCATCTCTCTGTGTCCTGGCCACAACATCCTAAAACAAGAGGGGAGAAGGGAAACTTCTTTAATTTTTTAGTTGGTACAAAAGATATGAGCCAAATAGTTCACCACACTTTAAAACGATTATAATTGACTTAGACCACCCTTCTAAAACACCGAGTTAAATTAGTGAAAAAGAATGACAGTAGAGGGGCTGGAGCAATAGCACAGCGGGTAGGGCGTTTGCTTTGCACGCAGCCAACAAGGCCGATACAGGTTCGATTACCAGCATCCCATATGGTCCCCCGAGCACTGCCAGGAGTGATTCCTGAGTGCATGAGCCAGGAGTAACCCCTGAGCATCGCCGGGTGTGACCCAAAAAGCAAAAAAAAAAAAAAAAAAAAAGACAGTAGAAAAAGAAACACAGTGGACTTTGTTTTTTTTCCAAAACTACTGTCCTCTCTGACCCAAAGGAATGGAGGCAGGTAAGAGTCGTGGTTCTCTTGAGTGATTACTGCTTTTGATTTTTCTGTGGGTTTTCCCTCTAATATTACCACACTATAATTTATTCAATTTATTCAGTATCACCATTCAAACCATTTCCCCCCAGCTTCTCTCTTCCCATCCTAATATCATTTATTATAAAAAGTTTTTAATTTTTTTTAACTGAACTGAGGATGTCAGAGTCATACATAAATACACAGTCTCAATCGCTGAATTTGCACTAGCTTTTATGTTACTAGCTGTTCCTGGTGAGGACTAGCAATGACCAGTAATGGCCACGACAGTCAGACACACCCACACAAGGGCCAAGCTCTTCCTTCTTTCTCCTGAATATGTCTCTTCCTTTTCTTCCGACTTTTCCACCTCACTAGGGACATGGCAAAGAGCTTCTCCTGGCCACTGCTGGGCGAGTGAGCGAGTCCCAAATCACTCATTTGTCTTGGGGCCCCTTCAGGTGGTACTCAGGAATCCCGGTTCCAGGCTCAGAGACCTGAAGTGGAGTCAGCCTGAGGGGAGCAAGAAGCCTACCTGCTGTGCTACCTCTCCGCACAGCTCCTCATCTTCCCACTACTCATTCAGGTGGTTGAAGAAAACAGAAAAGCCATGCTATGTGGGCGCTAAAGCAATAACACAGTGGGGAAGGAGCTTGCCTTGTATACAGCTGACCCAGTTTCTGTCCGCAGCACCCCACGTGGTCCCCCAAGCACCCAGGAGTGACCCCCGAGTGCAGCACCTGAAGTGAGGCCTGACCACCTCTGGGCATGGTGCCAAAAGCAGAGGAAAGAAAGTCAAGTATGAGTTGGAGTGATAGCACAGCGGGTAGGGTGTTTGCCTTGATGTAGCCGACCCAGGTTTGATTCCCAGCATCCCATATGGTTCCCTGAGCACCACCAGGAGTAATTCCTGAGTGCAGAGCCAGGAGTACTGGGTGTGACCCAAAAAGCAAAATAAAAAAAAAAAAAAGAAAGTCAAGGTATGAAAAATGCTCGACCCGCTCCTAGCCTGCTCCCAGTTCCTACACAACTTTTTTTTAATTGAATCACTGTGGAACACAGTTACAAAAGTTCCGTGTTTGAGTTTCCATCATACAATACCATCCCTCCACCAGTACACATTCTCCACCACCAATGTCCCCAGTATACTGCCCCCCTACACTATCTAACCCTCCCCCTGCCCCTATGCCAATTTCCCCCATACTCTCTCTCTACTTTTGAGCATTATGGTTTGCAATATAGATACTGAGAAGTTATCATGTTTGGTCCTTTAACTACTTTCAGCACACATCTTTCATCCCGAATGATTCCTTCAACCATCACTAACTTAGTGACCCCTTCTCTATTCCAGCTGCCTTCTCCCCCAGCTCAGGAGACAGGCTTCCAGCTATGGAGCAATATTCCTGGCCCTTGTGTCTACTGTCCCTGGGTATCAGTATCATGTTATTTTATATTCCACAAATGAGTGCAGTCATTCTATGTCTGTCCCTCTATTTCTGACTCATTTCACTTAGCATGATACTCTAAATAACCATCCACTTATAAGCAAATTTCATGATTTCATCTTCCTAACAGCTGCCTAGATATATTGTGTAGATGTACCAAAGTTTCATTCACCATCATCTGTTCTCGGGCACTCGGCTGTTTCCAGATTCTGGCTACTGTGAACAGTGCTGTAATACAATACAGGTGCAGATGTCATTTCTACTGTGCTTTTTTGCACCATTGGGATGTATTCCCAGAAGCGGTACTGCAGGGTCATATGGAAGCTCAATTTCTAGTTTTTGAAGGAATGCCCATATTGTCCTGCACAACTCTTAAACCTTTCTGAACTCTTAACTACTCCAACTTAAGCAACTCCCCCAACTCCAGATCCTCCCCGGGACCTGGTTTGGATCAATTTCTTTCTGTCCTTTTCAGAAAGTTGAGGCCACACCTAGAGGGTACTGAGGACTCTGCTGTACCTCTCTCTGCCTCTTCCGGAAGTCCCACCCCAGTCCCTAACTCTTTATATCCTTACAGTGTAGTGTCAATTTCTGAAGCAAGAAGGCTTCAAAAAAGTTCCTGTGATGGCCAAAACTTTAAAAAAAGGCTTTCACACAAAGCCTCTTTAACAAATGATGCTGGCATAACTGGACAAACACATGCAAAAAAATGGGCTTAGACGTCGACCTGACACCATGCACAAAAGTCAGATCAAAATGGATTAAAGATCTCAACATCAGACCAGACCATAAGGTACACTGAAGACAAGGTCGGCAAAACCCTCCATGATATTGAGGGTAATGGTATCTTCAAAGATGACATGCCACTGATCAACCAAGTGCAAACAGAGATAAACAAATGGGACTATATTAAACTAAGAAGCTTCTGCACCACAGAAGATACAGTGACCAAAATACAAAGACAATCTACAGAATGGGAAAGGATATTCACCCAATACCCATTCGATAAGGGGTTGATATCAAGGACATACAAAGCACTGGTTGGACTCCACAAGAAGAAAACATCTAACCCCATCAAAAAATGGGGTGATGAGGGGCTGGAGTGATAGCACAGTGGGTAGGGTGTCTGACCCTGGTTCAATTCCCAGCATCCCATATGGCCCCCCGAGCACCGCCAGGAGTAATTCCTGAGTGCATGAGCCAGGAATAACCCCTGTGCATTGCCGGGTGTGACCCAAAAAGCAAAAAAAAAAAAAAAAGGGGGTGATGAAATGAACAGAAACTTTGTCAAAGAAAAAATCCGAATGGCTAAAACCGCATGAGAAAATGCTCTACATCACTAATCATCAGGGAGCTGCAGATCGAAACAACAATGAGATATCATCTCACACCACAGAGACTGGCCCACAACCAAAAGAACAAAAGCAACCGGTGCTGGCGCGGATGTGGCGAGAAAGGGACCCTCCTTCACTGCTGGTGGGAATGCCGACTGGTTCAGTCCTTTTGGAAAACAGTATGGACGATTCTCAAAAAAATTAGAAATTGAGCTCCCATTTGACCCAGCAATACCACTCCTGGGAATATATATCGGAAAGGCAAAAAAGTATAGTTGAAATGACATCTGTACTTGTATGTTCATTGCTGCACTGTTCACAATAGCCAAAATCTGGGAAAAAAAAAGTGCCTGAGAACAGATGAATGGTTAAAGAAACTTTGGTACATCTACACAATGGAATACTATGCAGCTGTTAGAAAAGATGAAGTCATGAAATTTGCATACAAGTGGTTCTACATGGAAAGTATCATGGTAAGTGAAATGAGTCAGAAAGAGAGGGACAGACGTAGAAAGACTGCCCTCATCTGGGGAATATAAAGTAACAGAATGGGAGATGAACACTCAAGAATAGTTGAGAAAAGTACCAGGAGGTCTGCTCCACGGCTTGGAAGCTGGCAGCACATGCTGGGTGAAGAGGCAGCTCAGATAGAGAAAGGAACACCAAGTAAAGGGTGTTTGAAGGATTCGCTCAGGATGGGAGATGCATGCTGAAAGTAGACTATAGACCGAACATGATGGCCACTCAATACTTCTATTGCAAACCACAACACACTAAAGGAAAGAGAGAGCAAAAGGGAAAGCCCTGCCACAGAGGTGGGGCGGGGTGGGGGGAGGGGGAGGGCTGGGTTCAGTGGTGGTGGAGAATGGGCACTGGTGGAAGGATGGGTCATTGTATAACTGAAACCCAAGCACGAAAGTTTGTAAGTCTATACACCGTACCTCATGGTGTTTCACTAATAAAAAAAAAAATTTAAAAAAAAAGGGATATCCCACAAAGACAGGAACAAGTGTGTGTAAAATTCATAGGTATAACAAATACACTGTTTAGGAGCAGTGATGAATGTACACTTTCCATGTCTGGGATCTGAAAACTGACCCCCCCCCCAAAAAAAAAAAACCAACAACCACCCTGCTAATCCTGCTTTACATGCATTCCATCTTCCCCAGTTCTAATATCATACTTTATATTGCCAATTCTTATAATCCTACTTTATATCCATCAGGTTTTTTTCTAATCTCACTATGACTTTTATAGATTTGCTTTAAGGACAAATAAAATGACATACCATTGATCCTTCCTGGTTTGAAACATTTCTGCCATTTATTAGGTCTTTATTCTGGAAAAAAAATTTTTCTATTATATACCGCTGTATTTCTATGAAGGGAAAATAATGTTTAATAATTAAGAAAACATGGTAAGAGAAAAACCAAAGTTCTGAAAACTGAAGACTATAGAGAACAAATCTGACTGGACTCCAAACCAGAGTAGCCAAATCCTGTCTTTGAAAAATCATTTAGGGGGCTGGAGAGATAGTACAGCAGGGAAGGTGCTTGCCTTGCATGCAGCTGTTTTGGATTCAATCCTTGTCACCCAAAATGGTCCCCAGAGATAGTTGGAGTAATCCCTGAGCACCACTGGGTATACTCCCCCATCCCCACACACACACCAAAAAAAGGAAAAAAGAAAAAGCACTTAATCAGAAAACTGAATGTCATTGGTAGGGAGAGTATGAGGATGTGATAGGATCTCTAAGTGCTAATATATTCTGTGCTGGATGCATGGGGTGTGGTACAGGTTTTGAAATCTTTAGCAAACTGCTGACTTCTTAAATATGTATTTCATTGCGTGATACTTCAGCATACACTTTAAAAAGAACTCCTTTAAGCTCTTTAGAAATCTTCGCTACATATTTTTCTTACATAGTCAAGTATAAAAAAAGCCAAGTTAGTTATACTGACCTATATAGCCCAGGGTTGACTGCTCATGAGTATCTTAGAATCTCATCTTCCACAAGGAGGAGAGAGAAAACTTTTGGTGTACTAAAATGCTGAAAAACCTAGCAAGCACAGCCACAGAAGTCTCGGAATAGCAGCAAATCAGAGAATTTAACAACTGGGAGAATACCAAGGATCTTGCCTAGAGCAGTTCTGAAGGAATGTTGGGGGCAAAGGTCTGACAGCAATGGACAGAAAGGAGGATGAGAAATGAACTGCTGTAGGTCATAAAAGGATGATAAACAGTTCCTCTTGGAATGGCTCTGCGATAAAAGGTGGAAGATACAGAATAGTGATAAAATGCCTTATTTTACTCCAGACACAACTAAAGCTAAAAACAAGTCTAAGTGCTGTTTTATCAAAACAGTTAAGATAATTAACAGATACTCATGGTATTAAAATAGATCCTGGCGTTTTTTTATTTGTTGTTCTTTTGAAGCCACATGCAATGCTACTCAGGGGTTTCTCCTGATGCTGCACTCAGGAATCACTTATGGCAGTGCTTGGGAGTGAACCTGGGTCAGTCACATGCATGGAAAGCACCCTACCGATTGTACTATCACTCATGCCCAAAATAGATTCTGCTTTAACAAGGGAAACTCATACTCACATTAAATGAGGGGAACACCTGTAAATCACTGTTGCAATCTAAGTTCTCATTTTTCGTTGTCCAACAATCAGGGTTCTTGAAATAACTACCACAAAAGTCTTCACTGATAGTCAGCTGATGCTTCTGTAACTGCTCCTACCCAAAATAAGATTTAGGTTAAGGCTTATTTCCATACTGCTTACCCAAGACAATACAAATAATTTAGTAAAAGATAATTAAACATATACAAGTTACCAAAACTGGAAACAGGTGAAACAAAATGTTGGAAAAGTTTTGAAAATGGTTTTACATATAACTGAAGTAATCAACATCTCAACTAGTCCAACTGGCTCATATAGTGATATAAAATGCAAGCATAATCTTAAGAGCGAGTGATTTACCGCACGATTGGAAGGAAACACTGTATAACAAGAATTTTTCCCATGTATAGGCAATTAGACAGAGAAAGCAAGCTATCTGATCGGAAAAAAAATAAATCCAACTGTAACATAAAGCTGCTAAGTCAACTGAATGTATGGGAGAGGCTCCCCTATATTCAAATTATTAATATTCAAGTATCATAACCAGAAGTGTTTCATTTCTTCCAAAGGGTGACTGTGACAGAACTATGGCTAGCAGGCATCGAAGGTAGGTTAAGCTAGTGCCCACTGGCGAAAGATAGGACAATACAAGTGAAGTTAATAAGAACAGAAATACATCACAACTCACTTACCAAAGAAAAGAGTGAACTCTTATTGACAACTGACAGGTAAAAAAGAGCAAAGGGGAAGGCAGAACGTACTTACAGAATGCTAATAAATGTAGAAGAAAAAAACTAGAATTTGAAAAATCATCATTTTGCAACTGTCACAGTAGCAACTTACTCATCAGGCAAGAATCACAGGACTAATTAAAAAAACCCACATGTAGGGATGGGTACTTGATCATTGTATAACTAAACCCAAGCACAATTTTTTTTTTTTTTTTTTTGCTTTTTGGGTCTCACCCAGCGATGCTCAGGGATTACTCCTGCCTCTTCACTCAGGAATTACTCCTGGTGGTGCTGGGGGACCATATGGGATGCAGAGGATTGAACCTGGGTTGGCCGCATGCAAGACAAATGCCCTACCCGTTGTGCTATCGCTCCGGCCCACACAAAAATTTTTAAGTCTACAACTGTACCTCATGGTGTTTCACTAAAAAAAAAACACATGCTTACATGCTTACATGTTTACAGAATGTCCATCACTTTGACTGTCCCTGATATGCTTCAGAACGATCCAGGTCTTGTCACGTGATAACTGCACTGTTTAAGTGAGCATCTTTTTCTTTTCTGTCATTAAGGTAACACTGGTTCATAGCATGGTGCATGTTTTAGACGTTTGGCTCACACGTCCTGCCCTGTGGTGGCCAGTTCTGTCAGAACCCAGAGATCTGATTCATCTCATCTGCTTGTCAATTTCTATTTCACCTAAACCTGAAACCAGTCAGCCCATACCTTTCTCATTCTGACTTTTAGTGAGCAGCTCTGCTCTGAGGCAAGGGGTAAATATATCAGGGGAAATACTGGGAGATAAAGCAGGTGTTCAAGGAGAATGAATTTGGATATCTGCACATTATTCAAACTAGGAGTTGACAGATAACAGAGAAGCAGGAAAGGAACTGATCCAAGCAACCATCATAAGAATAACTGAACGGAAACCCTGGCCCAGGGAACCCATGGACTTCCTAGAGCGGGAGTCCAGCCTCAGAGCCAGGAATATTCTTGACCATAGCCAGGTCCCTCCATTGTCCCCTCCCAGTTGGCCCCCTCCCCACCACCATCCCCATCTAGGACTCCCCCTTCCTCTCCCTCCTCCCCTCCCAACTCTCCCTTCTCCCCTGCCTGGTTCCTTTCTTCCTCTCACATCTTAGACCTACGTTAAGTCCAAGGCTTCCCATCTGATAACTTGAATGCAATAAAATCTCACTATCTTTCAATTGTTTTATATCTGCATGTGACCCACGGACCCTTTATTTATGGTTTCTACCTAGGTGACTTAAACGTTTACTAACAATTCTCTTAAGAACTGAAGAAGAAACGTTTAGATACTTCTCAGAAAGCAGAAACTTTGAATTAGAACACTTACTGTTGAAATCCCGAAAAAAAATCAGTGGGACTTCAAAGGCTACTGTATTTCTAGTCCCCATAGTGGATGCTCTATTGATGCTTTGTATTTATCATTTCCCTTCAGAGCTTCACATAAATTAAAAACTGTGCTTTACTTACTTCCAGGTTATAGAAGTCATTGTAACAGATGTGGTACTTCAAATGCCATTCTATGGTAAACTTCATAGGTCCAGAACAACTGAATGATTTAACTGTTCAGAAAAAGAAAGTCTCGTATTAAAAAATTATATATATGACAAGATGTTGCAATGTGTAAGGTTCCAAGAATGCAAAAATAAGTTACTTTATGAAATTAGTCAGAAAGAGAGGGACAGACATAGAATGACTGCACTCATTTGTGGAATATAAAGGAACATAACAGGAAAATAACACCTAAGGACAGTTGTGGTAAGGGCCAGGAGGATTGCACCATGGCTTGGAAGCCAGCCTCACAGGGAGAAAAGGCAGCTGAGATAGAGAAGGGACCACTAAGTAAAGGATGGTTCGAGGAATCATTCGGGATGGGAGATAAGTGCTGAAAGTAGACTATGGTCCAAACATGACAGCCTCTTAGTACCTATACTGCAAACCAGAACACCCAAAAGGAGGGAGAGAGTAAGAGGGAATGTGCCTGCCACAGAGGCAGGGGATGGGGAGGGGTAGGGGTGGTGGAAGGGATACTGGGAACATTTCTGGTGGAGAATGGGCACTGGGGGAGGGATGGGTGCTCAATCATTGTATGACTGAAACTTAATCACGAAAGTTTATAAGTCTGTAACTGTATCTGATGGTTATTCAATGAAAAATAAAAATGGACTACTTTAATGAAATGTTGAGTAAAATACTATCTAATTCCTCCAAAAAAAGTCACTGAAAAATGAGATAAACAGATTCATTACGTTAAGTTCTCATTGACCAGAGGTTCCTAAACTATTCACTTCCTCCATGCCAAGTCCAGTGTGTCAGTCAGCCTCGTAGGAGGCAGTGCAGAAGCAATGCAGAGATAACGCTCATGCTGTGCATGAAGCTGTCCCCCGTTTTGAGTCCCAGCACTGCAGGGGTCCCGGTGCTGCCCAGGAGGAACTTGCTTCAGTTCTAGAATTAGTTCTTACTAGTCTGTCTGATCACATTGCCCTTCCAGACAAATCTTTCGATGGTGCCCTGTCATACACAGAATCAAGAAAACCCCTTCATGCATCAGAGTCCTGGTGAAATCACTCTTCCGCAGTGCCAGCTCCCCCCTCCTGCCCTGATCTGACTAGAGCAGGTGGTTCTCACGGTGTCACATCCGCACCCTGCTCTCACGCAGCCTGACCATCTGTGTCTTCTGCACACTTCCCTTTAACCTGGCTGACTTCTCTGCGTCCTTTACCAAAGGGTTTCTTCATGTTGTGGACTGTGAGAGGTGCCTTGCCCAGAGTCTTGCCCAGAGCTGCTTTGGGGTTTTTTGGTTTGGACTTTTGGACCCACTGCCAGTGGTGCTCAGGGCCTCCTGCTGGCTATGTGTTCAGGGATCACTCCTGGTGGTGCTCAGGGCACCTTTGAACTTCTGTTCTAAATCCCTCACTCTATCAAGGCCTGTTAGGCCTTAGCTATCCTCTCCCCTAGTCCCTCTCACATCAAGGGTTGGAGACGCACAACTTTATCACCTGACCCAGGAGAGGTGGTAATCCCATGTTAGGGGTGACTAAGTACTGGAAGAAAAAGAGAATCGGTGACTGTAGAGTGAAGTCAGCAGTGACTGAATTTATCCAAATGCTAAGTATTTTGTGGTGATGGGAGCAGCTCCCAGATGATGCCTGGGTGCTGGGACACCCTCCCAGCCCCAGCTCAGTGAGCAGGGCTGCAGGTGGTTCAGTTCAGAGATCCACAGATCCTGTGCTATGGTGCTGGGAGTCACCTGGGCAGCCGGGCCTAGTATGATAAGGAACTGCCTGCACTCATGACTACTGAAAGGCAAGGATCACTACAAGCCATATCAAAGGCAGGGAAGCAGAGAGACTCAAAGAGCAAAGAGAGAAAAATCCAAAAGGCTGAGGCTGGCAGAGTTTCTGGGCTAGAATATACCCAAGGACTGAAAGAAGCTACATCAGGAGAAAAGAAGATAGAAAATCTGCAAGGGGGAGGGGGAGTGAGGCAAATCTTGCATTACACGTGGCCGACCCAAGTTTGATCCCCAGAAATACAGATGGTCCCCAATCCCTACCAGGAGTGACCTCCTGAGCATCAAGCTTGGAGTAAACCCTGAGCATTGGTTGGGCGTGGCCCCCAAACCAACAATAAAGAAAAGGAAGAAACCTGGAGAGGAGCTGAGGTAGAGTGCTGGTACCACACATGGCCTGAGCAGCAGGCTCGATTTTTGGGTCCTCACACTGAATTCTCTTTCAAAGAATTTCAGGGGCCAGATAGTACTGGGGATAGACCTCAGCCTTGCATGAGGTCAATTAACATTCAATCCCCAGCCATCCCTTATGATCCCCCTGAGCACTGCTTTGAGGAATTCCTGGGCCAGGAATAAACTCCTGAGCATCAACTGAGTGTGGCTCCCAAAATAAAAACAATCACTGCGAGTGGACTTGGGGGCCCATGAGCACTACTTTGGAATCGTTCCTTTTCCATCCAAGAAAAATCTTGGGGCCAGACAGTACAGGAGTTTGATACTCAGCATTGCAGATGGTCCCCTGAGCAGTTCCCGGACTTCTCTCTGAGCACCAGGCCAGGAGTGAGCCCTGAGCATTGCTGGGTGTGGCCCCAACCCCCCACTTTAAAAAAAAAAGAAAAGAAAAGAATCTGCAGAGATTCCCTTAAATAGCAGCTTGTCCATGCAAAAGAAGAAGACTAATAATTCTGAGTTCACACAGAGGTGGTGGGAACTTTATGAGTGCCCCCTAGTCAGAGTGGAGAAGACTTTTTCTGTGTTGAAAAGCTGTAGAAGGGTCCCACCTCAGAAGTGGCACTGAAGCCAAGGCTCCATTCTAACAGACATTCCCAACAGAGCCAGAAAGGCTCCTTCCCATCTTGCAGGAGGTGGAGAGGCCGGCTTAAGCGAAGGGCCCTGAAGCCAAGAAGACGGGTGCAGACAGCCAGGCGACAGAAGAAACATCAAGTCAAAGCTAAAAAGCCCTAAAAAGGGGACTACCCCGCTATTCTGTCCTTGAGTGAGAATACCGGCCACCAGTATTCGTGATGTGCTGTGTCTAGGCGAGACACAGCAGCCCAGTTCAGGCTTGAAAAGAACTGCCACAAGTCCAGGTGCCATGGCAGCAGTGATGTTACCTGGGTAGTGAAGCCTCAGAAGATACCCAATCAATCTTACTGGGCATGTGCCCTGGAGGCTTCTGGGCCTCGGCTGTGTGAGAAGACTGTCTGACCATCCTGACAGGGCACTGCAGAGGCAGTGGGGTGGTCTTACTTGATATCTCACCATGAACATTCAAAGACATCCTAACTCCAGTTACCTAGCCACACAAAAACACACAAGAAACACCTCCAGCTTGCAGCAGTCACATGGGGAAGCAAGGCAAAACCCCACCACGCTTAGTGAGTGAGGATGGCAGCCCGGAAAACTCCACCAGTATTAACCAGCTCTAAAACTTCTCTGATCAGAACCTCAGAGGGGAAATGTTGAGGATATTTAAGGAGCTCAAAGAAACAATGAAATGCACATCCAATAAGACACAAAAGGATAAGTGAGCAGAAATGAGGAAACTGGAAATGACAAAATTGAGAAACTTATCAGGTGAAGGCCTTGGCAGCAGAGTAACAGCTGCTGAGGACAGAAGCAGTGAACTTCAAGATAAGGTGAAGAAAATCTCCACACAAAAGAGACATGGAAATAAGCCTCAAAATAAACAAACAGCATTCAAGAAAACTCTGGGATGAATTTAAGAGGAACAACATAAGAATTACAGGTCCCAGAGGGCCAGGAGGCAACCCTGATGAAGCCACAGTCAAAGACAATATTATTGCTAAGAGAACACAGACACCCAGATCCAGGGGGCCTGAAGGGGACCAAGTGAAAAACAGGTGGGCGATAGATAGTTCAGTGGGCAAGGTGCTTGTGTTGTATGCAGCTGACTGGGATCCTATACCCGGCACCCCATATGGTCCCCCAAACCTTTCTAGGAGTGATCCCTGAGTGCAGAGCCAAGAGTAATCCCTGAGCACCACCAGGTATGACTCAAAAATCAAAAAATTAGAAAGAAGGAAACTGTACAATAGAAACTTAACTCTCTTCCAGAACAAAGTTGTCAAAAGAATCCAACATTATATAACTCATGAGAAAGCAAAATTTAAAATGCCCACACCTTCTAAATAAAAACACCAGCAGAAAAATTTGACCCATAACCACAAAATAGATCACTCAGTATAAGAAAGATGAGGGCAATAACTAATTAAAATATAAGAATAGCTAACACGAGTTAGTTTCTATATGTTCACAGACATATAGAAAAATATAAAATTACTGAGGATAAAAATAAAAAAAAAATTTTTTCCAAAGCTAAACTTCTAGAGATTAAAGAAATATAACAACTGAAATTACAAAAATTCACTTAACAAAATGGCAGATTAGAAATGGCAGAGATCCCTAACTTGAAGATAGAGTGGTGAGTGAGCACAGGTACAGTGATGTGTGGGACAATGCCAAGAGGCCCGAGCATGTGTACGTGGAGTTCCCAAGAAGGACAGTCCACAATGTGAGTCCACAGTCCAGGTAAGAGTCCATGCTGAGGGGCTGGAGAGATAGCACAGCGGGTAGGGCGTTTGCCTTGAGCGCAGCCGACCTGGGTTTGACTCCCAGCATCCCATATGGTCCCCCGAGCACCGCCAGGAGTAATTCCTGAGTGCATGAGTCAGTAGTAACCCCTGTGCACCGCCGGGTGTGACCCACCCCCCCAAAAAAAGAGTCCATGCTGACAGTTATCAGGTGTCCAGAATCATCTGTCGAGAAGATGATCAGATGATCCTTTCCTCAATAAATTATCTTGGAACTGTCATTTTAAGGGAAAAAAAATCAATTGGCCGGGTATACGTGGACCTATTTTTGGCTCCTTCATCTGTTCCATTAATCTACGTCCATCCTGATACCAGTACCACACAATTTCCATTTTTTGTTTTGAAATCAAACAATAAAAAGTTCACTGGCAAAATGGTTTTGCTATACTAGGTTCTTCATATTCTCATACAAACACGTAGAATGCCTACTCAACTTTCATATAAAAATAGGCTTGGATTTTGATTATCATTAATCAAAATTTATCTGGGAAAAATTGAAAGTATGAAATTGGAGATATATTTCTCATAGCTGCCCTATATCAAGTGGAGGGGGATGTTTATTCTTTTACAGAGTTCTTTAGGGAGGTGGGTGGGTAGGTTTGGGCCACACCTGTCAGTGTTCAGAGTCTATTCACAGCTCTGTGCTCAGGAATCACTCCTGGTGGTGCCCCCAGACTGTATGTGGTATGGGGGATTTGAATCAGGGTAGGCCGCATGCAAGCAAGCCCCTTAACCCCCACCTCTCTGGCCACTTTCTGAGTATTTTTACACAGAATGGGTATTGAGTTTTTTCTAAATTTTTTTTTAGCTTGGGAGATACGAGAATCTAGTTCTGTGTAAACACAGAGACCGAGTCACTTCTTCACCAAACCTTTGAGGTAGAAGTAGAAGCAGAGTATCTGACTGCTCACTCGAATGAACCATAACTGTGCAGTGGCAGCATAATTATCCATGGGCTCTCCCCGTTCGGCAGGCCTTCCCAGACACCCACTGGGTGAAGGGTGCTGGGTGGGTGAGCACAGCGCTCAGGCAGATGCTCCTCCCACCCGTGACAGCCACAGTGACAATTCAACACCGCTTTCTCATCGAAGGGTGAACACTGCCAGCTTTGGCCTGACTCAACCTCCCCTTTTTTTAAAAAAAAAAATTCATTTTTACAAAATCTGTGCTGTTTGAGAACTTCAGAGTATAGCAGCAGCTCCAGGAAGGGTGAAATTACCTGCTGGTCCTGCCTCCCAGGTCAGGGAGAAGGTGGATCACGCATGCCAGCAGCTGTAACTCCTCTCAGCTCCCTATCATGTCTCATGGATCGTGTGTGTGTGTGTGTTTGTGTGTGTGTGTGAAACCCTCTTTTTTGAATGCTTTTGTGTGTGCTAAACCCTTTTTTAAAAAATACTTGTGTGTGTGTTTGTGTTAAACCCTCTTTTTAGAATGCTTTTGCCCCTCTTTTACTCTTTACTCTAAATGCCTCACTCTTTATATATATTAATCCCTCTCTAGATTGTGGTCTATTAGGCAGATGTGAGAAACTAAATATGGCTGGTTTTAAAATCATTTTTTGTGTTTCTGTGGTCCATAGACGTGTTTTTTTCTGCTCTAGCCTTTTTGATTTGCTTTGTTTTGTGGCCAGATCTGGGTTTACTGCTGCCAGTGCTCAGAGATGCCTGGGATGAACCTAGGTCAGCCCTACTTGCTATACTATCACTCCAGCCCCCCACGCTTTTAAATTTTATTTGTCTAGACAGTGGACTTGAAAGCATCTAGATGCCAATATTTTGATTAAGGCAATTAAAATGTCAACAGTTTTTCCTCACCTACTTTGGATTTATATTGCCTCTTACCAAGCTCTTAGCAACACTAATGATTGTGATCGCCAAACTGCCGTGTACACCTTCTGCTTTCTAGCTGATGTCAGCACAGGTCCCAAAATACAGCAGAATTACCCAACAAACAACCAGAAGATGGTGTGGTACAGAAACAGGGCAGGCTCTGGATCCTAGGAAGCCAATTTGCTTATCCCAAACCTTGTCTAGCCAAATTACCGATAAATACTCTGACCTAACATTAGTCCATTCAGAAACCTGAAAACTCGAAAATCGATGAGTTGTTGGTCGTCGCGCAAAATCAGTAATTGTACTGGTATTCTTACTGTCAAAGATCTAAGATTAATGTGCTAACATCTAGTAATTTTTACCTCATGATTAGCTATTAAATATTTTATTTCACACGTGTGTATATTTAGAAAATTTTCAGGGGCCTAAGAATTTATCACAATGAAGCCATTTCATATGCTAACAAAAAGAAATTGATTTACATTTAAAATCCTAGATTTGGAGTCAAATCTCACAAAAATTAACTATCTTTATTGAAATTTACTTTATTAGACTTCAATTATCTTTTTTTGGGAGGGAGGCACACCCAGCAGTGATCAGGGGTTACTTCTCATTTTGCACTGAGAAATCATGCTGGGTGGGTTCTGGGGACCAAATGGGATATTGGGGATCAAACGTGGGTTGGCTGCATGCAAGACACTCTACTGGCTGTACTATTTTTCCAAGCCCTCAAATATCATTTTTAAGGAATGATTTACATTACATTTTCTGAGATAAAAAAAACCCACTCTTGTCTTTACTGAACTAAAAGAAACTCCTACAATGTTCTACCTGATCAACACCAAAATTGCTGCCTCATTTATAATATAGGTCATACTTACTTACATTAATGAAAATTTTTAGTACATGCTAGTCATTATAATTTAATTACATTTTATTTATATTAGTTTAGTATACTTACCAGAAAACTTGATCTCAGTAGAATTAAACATAGTTTTCCTAAATACCAAAGGTCCTGATTTCTAAAATTAAAGAAACAAAATATAGGAAAAAACTTGTTAAAAATGTGTTTTCTACTGTTCGTTTCATAAGCTTAGCCTGGAAAATAAAGACTTCTAATCTGTATATTCCCCCAGAGACCAGAATGCTGTTTTGCTTTATCCGAAGGGATGAGGGAAAGAACTTGGAGAATGGGCTACACCCAAAGGTAAGCTCAGGGCTTACTCCTGGCTCTGAGCTCAGGAGTGATTCCCGGCAGTGCTTAGGAAACCACAGGTGATTCCACGTTCGAACCTGGATTGGCCTGTGCAAGGCAAGTGCATAACCCCCCTGTGCTATCTCTCTGGCCCCAGGGTGTTAATTTATTCAAAACATCAATCTGATCACCAGGCTCATTTTCTTAAAATCACCTACAGCGTCTCTCCTGCCTGCAGCTGACTTTAGGCTGGGAAGGCTCTCGCTTCTAGCCCTTAGCTGGGACCAGCAAGACAGAGGGAAGGCGCAGCGGCCACTGCTCAGTGAATGCAGCTCCAGCGCGGGCTGAGTGGTCGTCTGCAGCTGTTCTGGCACCAATATGAACAAACTTTCGACATAATCGTCACCCTCTTCCTACATTGTCATGGGTCCCTTCGGCACTTCAACTCTCCAAGAGTAAGCTCCAACTCTCCCAGCGTTGCTATAGCCGGGGATGGGGTGTGGGGGAGGGGTGGAGGTGGGGGGCTGGGCTTGCATGCAGCCAACCTGGGGTTCCATTCCTGGCATCCCCATCCCATACGGTCCCCAGAGCACCGCCAGGAGTGATCACTGAGTATAAAGCCAAGAGTAAGCCCTGAGCACAGCCAGGTGTGGCCCCCAAACAAAATACAACTATAACTTAAAAAGAGAAAGCACGATAGCACCTGCATTGCAAACCATAACACCCAGAAGGAGTGAGAGAGTATGAGGGAATGTGCCTGCCACAGAGGCAAGGTGGGGAGAGGGTGGTGGGAGGGATGCTGGAAACATTGGTGACGGAGAAAGAGCACGGGTGGAGGGATGGGTACTTGAACACTGTATGACCGAAACATAAGCATGCAAGTCTGTAAGGCTGTAACTATCTCACGGTGATTCATTAAAAATAATAATAGTAATAAACCTCAAAAAATAAATAAAACCACGCATCTTCATTCCCTCTCAACCTTATTGATGAACCCACAGACTTTCTTAAAAACCTTCCCCTACTCCTTCTTCACTGAGTTCCTTTCTTCTCCTTCAAGGCCCACTTTCAAAGCCCTTTCCTCAGGAACTCGCCCACCACACCCCACACCAGGCCTGGTCATCCCTGACATGGTATTGAGGATGTGTTCTTCACGTCCTTACCGTAACTAAAAAAAGAACCAATTAATGAGCTAGTTCATGTCTGAAGAAATTGGGTTCAACGAACAGAGAATGAAGAATTAAGAAACAAAACAAGGGCCCAGAGAGTACTGGTGTGAAGGTACCTGCCTTGCATGCGGCCAATTCAGGTCTGATCCCTGCCACTGCAAAGGGTCGCCAGAGTGCCACCCGGAGTGATTGTAGTGCACACTCAGGAATAAGCTCTGGGCACTATCAGATGTGGTACAACGCCACCTCTCCACAAAAACCAAAAGGAAACAGGACAAACAGCTCTTTCCAAACAACTTTCTCCTCCCACTATGAAACTCCAAGGACAATATCAAGGCTCCCGGTGCGAGCCCTTCTCTGAGCTCCAGAACCACATTTTCAGTCCCATGGCTGAGACCAACAGGCCACCCACAGTGACGTCACTCTAATGCAGGCTCCTTCCTGTCGGCTCCTGGCTCCTCACCAATTCATCCTTCCCACAGAGTCGGCCCTGGCTGTAGGTGGTGCCATCTGCAATCCTCCCAGGCATGGTTCCTCTACTCCATCGCCCCCCACCCCCCAGCCATGCCCACTTCATCTCACACACATCCCCAGTTCAGTTCTTCCCTTCCATTCCTGCAACAGCTGCCCTCATTCAGGACCTCAATATTTTCCTGCCTATACTTGTGCATTTAACAAGTGATATTCCTGTCTCCAGACTCAAGACTGCCCATTCATCCTTAGCTAACACCCAGAGCCATTATGAAGTCTCAATGGCACCCTAAAATTGCCACTAGGGTTAGCAGGGGTTGGTGGTGGTGCCATTTAACTTTTGTTTGTTTGGTCCTTTTTATAGTTGCAAATTAGTTAATAAAAACATAGGTTCAGATTTCCCATTAAAAGATAGACATGAGGGGCTGGAGCAATAATACAGCAGGTAGGATGTTTGCCTTGCACGCAGCCGACTCAGGTTCGATTCCCAGCATCCCATATGGTCCCCTCAGCACTGCCAGGAGTAATTCCTGAGTGCAAAGCCAGGAGGTAATCCCTGTGCACTGCCGGGTGTGACCCAAAAAAAAAAAAAAAGACAGACATGACACCCCTCTCCCTTCCAAAAAAAAAAAAATCCCCTAAAAACAAGAAACAAAAAAAGAACCCTTTATTTGGAATCAGAAAGATAGTACAGTGGGTAGGGCATTTGCTTGGCTTGCGGCTGACCTGGGTTTGATCCCTGGCACCACATATGATCCCCTGAGCCCCAGGAGGAGTGATCCCTGAGTTCAGTCAATACACCCTGAGCAACACCAGATGCAGCCTAAACCTTCCCCGCCCATAAAGAGAGACCTGGCAATTCTGTGCCTACACTGCAAGTATCCACCAACTGATTCCAGATTCCCAAATGCCAGCAGACTCTTTGGATGCCTCTCCAGAAAGGACTTGCAGTCCTGCCCCGCAATCCTAGTCATGCACTGACAATCTGCTTTAGTCCCCAAGGGTACAGACTGGAGGCTCCTGGCCTCAGGTTCATGACCTAGTTCAGAAACGGAAGGTAGGTGGGGGCTTTCATGTTAGAGTCCTCTGAGAGCTCTAACAGAATGGCAGGATCAGACACCAACGATCTTCTGTTCGGGGCTGGAATGGTAGTGTAGCGGATGGGGTGCTAACGTCACATGTGGCCAACCTGAGTTTAACTCCAAGAACCATATATATTCCTCTGAGCACTGCCAGGAGTGATCCTTGAATGTAGAGCCAGCAGTAATCCTTGAGCATCACCAGGTATGGCCTCCCCAAAAGAATTTCCTGCCTAACCGCTGCTCTCTCCCATTCCTTCTCTCAGCCAGATGGTTTCTACTCAGATATGAAGACCTGGACAGGCATGACCAGCTCATGTGAGCAAGGCTAGCTGCCCGTTTTTGCTCTCCAGCAAGAGCTCCCAAGTGCTGTCATGCATGTAATTACTACACATCAATCAGCTTATCGTGTAAGCCTCAGGCACGGTGGGTCTAAAACTCATCTTTCCCACAACCATAACCGGACAAGGACACAAATCTGGTGCTGCAATTTACAATCACAAGAACAATTTCCTGACAGATCCACAGTACAAATGAAAGACTTGCCATTTTAATCTCTTTCAGAAGAACAAGTTCTGACTGACAGCTGGAATGGAAGGTGGGGGAAAGATCAGGCTACTTTTTACAATGTAGAATTTTGTGGGGTCACACCACGCTAAAGAATATAAGAGACCCAAGGGAAAAAAAATACTGCCTCAAGTAGCAAGTAAAGCCATTCCTTTCCTTAGGTCTTGGGAAACTCACCATGCAATATATTGGGCAAAGATCTTTACAGACATAGTAAAGTAGTTAAACGATCTGAGTCACTCTCAGTACTGTTTACTGTGACTTCGTTGAAGTTTTTCTTGGGGGGAGGTAAGGGTTTGGGCCACACCCAATGCTGCTCATGGGACCACATAGGCACCCAACTCGCAGTACTATCTCTCTGGTCCTGTGAAGTAGCTATTAATTGTGCCCATTCTCTAGAGAAGTCGGGGAAACCATGGATGAGGTTCTCGCCTTTAAATGTTAGGAAAAATGCAATAAGCAGGCTCATCTGCACAGTATGCAACAGGGAAGCGACTCGGAAGAACCTGGGAAGAAAAATTACTACACAGGTCTTTGGAGATTCCGGAAGAGAACTACTTTCCTTCCTCCATGCAGTTTTTGTTTTGTAGGATATTTCTGGGACCTCTGACATCACTCTTTATCTGGCTGAAGCAATAAAACTTAAGTCTTGCCTTTTGGACTTGGACAACATCTCAATGCACGTGAAAAAGACTAGATCCCAAACAGCCAAGAGGTTCCCGTAACCCCAGAAAAGCAGAAGATAACGCCTCTTCTCATTTCCCCCTGGTCCTTCTATTTATTTACAATTTTGTAGCAGCTCTTTATAAAAAAATTGCCTCTGCATCCTGCCCACATCATCTTAGGTTACAACTGGATGCCAAGTTCTCAAATGGGCTGCCCGGGAATGCGAAGTTTCCACACACTCAAGGCCTCCAATTTCCTCCTTAATCAATCACACTTCCTAACACGGTTTCATGCCCAACAGCTCCGCAACGCTGCTAGGGACCCCAGAGGAAATCAAACTCAAGGCCTCCAATTTCCTCCTTAATCGATCGCACTTTCCAGCACGGTTTCACGCCCACAGCTCCCCAACGCTGCTAGGGAGCCCAATAAACCAAGAAGTTGTAAGGAGGGGAAGGCGCCTACTTACACTACATCACTACATGCTCCTTTTTTTTTTTTCCCTCTCCCTGGAGGAGAAAAAGAGACGAGGCACTCGGGCTAAGTTGAAGCCGAAAGTGAAGCCCCGCAAAGTCCTGGCGGTGTCAGGGGTGCGGCCCCGAGTCTGCAAACCCGGAGGAGAGCGACCTGTCCCGCCCGGCAAAGACGCCGTTAGGGGTGACCGGGGCTGGGGTCTGAATAAACGAGCAGACGAGGCAGAAGTCAGGGCGGAGCAGAAGGCCGGGAACTGCGGGCGAGCCGATGCGGGCGGACTACACGCACGCCCGGCCGGCAGCGCGCGCCTCCGGCCCAGCCCGGGCCCGGAGACACGACAGGAGGCTAGGCCCGGCCAGCGCAAAAGCACGCGGGACACGCGCCCGTCCGGCGCCCGTTCCACTTACATCAGTGACCGTGGCTGTCCAGAGCCCGAGCTCGGGCACGGCGCCCGCGGGAGCCAGCGCCCAGCAGGCCAAACAGAGGGCGACGCGCGGCAGCCCGAGCCCGGCGGGGAGGAGGCGGCGGCGGCCCGCGGCGGCCATCTTGACACGGAAGCCGCACCTGCCGCTCCGCGACGCCCCGGCGCCACGCCCCGGCCCGCACCTGGGGCCACTCCGCTGCCGGGAGGCGGGTTCGCCCGAGCAGCCGGGCTCCGGCCGGCAGCGGGAGAAGTCCTGGCCGGGATGGCCAAGCACGGTTCGAGCCCGGGCTGCCTCGCTGGGTCTCAGCAGCAAGAGCTCAGGGCCTCCCAGCGAGAAGCTAGAAGAGCCACTGCGTGCAGTACAGGGGCGGGGGCAGCGCGAGCTCCCAGGCCGGCCGCGAGGCGAGTCCGGGATTGGGGGCGGGGCCGGAGGAGGCAGGTCCAAGATCAAGGGCGGGACTAAGAGCAGAGGCGAACCTGGGATTGGAGGCGAGGCCTGGAGAGGGCGGATCCAAGGGCAGGGGCGGGACTAAGAGCAGAGGCGGGCCCACGACTGGAGGCGAAGCCTGGAGGGGGCGGGCCCAAGAACTGGGGCCGGGTAATTCAGGCGGAGCCAGAAGTGAGGGCGGAGCAAAACGCTTTAGAGACAGAGGCGGGCCCAGGATTAGAGGCGGGGCCGGAGGAGGCGAGCCCAAAATCAGGGGCGCGACTAAGAGCAGAGGAGAGCCCACGACTGGAGGCGAGGCCTGGAGGGGGCGGGTGCAAGAGCAGGGGCGGGACTAAGAGCAAAGGCGGGCCCTTTGCTCCACGACTGGAGGTGAGGCCTGAAGGAGGCGGGTCCAAGAGCTGGGACCGGGTAATTCAGGCGGAGCCAGAAGTGAAAGCGGAGCAAAAGGCTATAGGAACAGAGGCGGGCCCAGGATTGGAGGCGGAGCCAGAGGAGGCGAGCCCAAGATCAAGGGCGGGACTAAGAGCAGAGGCGGGCCCACGACTGGAGGTGAGGCCTGGAGGAGGCGGGTCCAAGAGCAGTGACCGCGTAATTTAGGCGGAGCCAGAAGTGAGGGCGGAACAAAAGGCTATAGGGGCAGAGGCGGGCCCGGGATTGGAGGCGGGCCGGAGGAGGCGAGTCTAAAATCAGGGACGGGATTAAGAGCGGAAACGCGCCGGGAGGCTGGAGGCGGGGCTAGACTGGGAGGCGGGGCCGGGATAGGAGGTGGGGCCTGTAGGAGTCGGCGGCATGTAGGGGGCGTGGTTAAGAGCGGAGGCAGGCCCAGCGAGGAGGCGGGGTTCGAGACTAGGCTCCAGTGGGGAGGCGGGGCCAAGTGGGGAGGCGGGGCTCCGGCGAGGGTAGAGGCGGAGCCCGAGTTTGGAGGTGGGGCGAGCTCGGTGCTGGGCCAGCGGGGTCCAGGATTTAGCCAGGCGGTAGGCAGCAGTTTATCCGGAAAGTGTGACATAAACTTGTTGGCTGAAGTTCGGCTTCAAGTCGTGACTCTTTCTTGAATCCTGTACACTTTGATCCTACTCCCTGCCTCGCAACTCAGGTGAAATAAACTATTTTGTTTATAGAAAGTAGCTGGACAGTGCCATTTGAATCCGGGGCATCTTGTGAATGTCAAGTCATTAGGACGATACCCAATAATTTTCTGTTTAAAGCGCAGAGGACCAGGGCTTACTTGGGTCTGTCATTTTTTTTTAAACCTAAACTGTTTTTCCTTTTTTTTGTTTGCTTATTTTTAGGGCCACACGGAGGTGCTCAGGGCTTACTCTTGGCTCTGAGCTTAGGGAATCACTCTTTTTTTTTCTTCAAATTTTTAAAATTTTTATTTTTTTGTTCAGGGGTTACTCCTGGCTCTGCACTCAAGAATCACTCCTGGCGGTGCTTGGGGGACCATATGGGATGCTGGGAATCGAACCCGGGTAGGCTGCCTGCAAAGCAAACGTCCTGCCCGCTGTACTATTGCTCCAGCCCTTTAGGGAGCACTGTTGGTGGTGCTCAGGGGATCCTATTGGGTGCTGGGTGTTGAACCTGGGTAGATTACTCTACCACTGTACTGTACTGTCTCTCCCCCCCCCCATCTTATTGTGTACTTCGTCTGACATTGTCAACTGTAAAAGCTGAATAAATGCCAAAGAGAAAGAATTTCTTTTTAAGTATTGTCTGATGTAAAAGTATCTAGATGGAGAATAGAATCCTGGGCTAATACTGTCATTAAGTAGGATTGATTTATAGTTGAGACTCTGGCTGTCTTAATAGTTATCCTAGTTGTTTACAAGACAGCAATTATTGAGGATCTAGTAAGTACTAAAAAGTGCATACGCCTTCCCAGCTGCAGTGTGATTATTTCTATGTCAGAGGAATAAGGGTGTCATGAACCACAGGTACTTCCACTGGACATTTTTCTATATATAAGTCAAGGCAAGTAGGCAGGAGGAGAAGACAAGAAGGCATGTTCAAGTTAGACTTTACAGAAAGAGTTTAGGGTGAGTTTGCTGTGGGAGTGAGGGGTTGGTTTGAAGGTGCAGTACCTGGAGGAACAGAAAGTCTTTCAGATGTTGGTGAACATAACACTTTAGGCTAAGAATATAGGGAAATCATGTTGATTGTGGTATTAAAACTGTTAAGGTGAACAACTTGCCAAGAAAATTTTAATAACTTGTGACCAGTTCAGAATATGTAAGTGTAATACAGAGATGGTGGCCTCAGCACAAAAGCAGCAGGGTGATGAAGATTTGGGTGAAATTTGGAGATTTGGAAAATGAAGACTGTTAAAAAAAATAAAAAGGATTCAGTGGTCGATTAGACATTGGGGCTTGGAAAGGAGAGGCACTAAGGCTGGTACCAAGGTTCCTAGATGGAAAACTGAGAGATCATCAGAAGGAAAAGAAAATGCGAACAAAGTCTGAGCTGCCCGTAGGATGACAAGTAAAATCAGAGAGTGGATAGGTATATAGATATGAATTTGAGGCGGAAGAAGTGCTTGGGTTTTGTGGTTACCTTATTGTAGGCAGTGAATGGAAAAGAGCGACACTGAGAAAGAGGACCAGGACCATGGAAAAAGGAGAACTCAGGAAGCTGACTCTGGTGAACAAAGGGTCAGGAGAGGAATAATCTGAGCAAGTACAGCAACCCTGAGTGCACAGGAAAGTCACTGGTGAGTTTCCCAGGTAACTGTCAATTCTAGAAAGATGGTGGCAGTGAAGAGTCTAGTTCTTAATCTACTGAGATTCTCCCATAATCTTTCTCTGGGTTAGCACAACAGGTCCCAAATAACATCATTTCATTCAGCCTCATCTTGTAACCTTAGTGAGAAACAAAACACCATAAATGTCATTGAACAAAACATCATTTTTGATGAGGACCTAATTTTATGATACACTGTTTCACTTTAAGTCATAATTTATGAGAAACCATCATTGACACAGGGAATCCCAAACCATATAATCCAAAATCTCACAACATAACGTAATCAGAATGGCATGTCCCTAAAAAAACTCTAAATATGTAGGTACTATTAGCGTCTAGACATGAAGAAGCAGGAGGAATAATTGGACAGCAAATGGACTTGAGCATAGGAGAATCCCAAATTTTTAGTCACTGGGAATCTAACTACAGCAGCCAGAGGGAGGGAACTTTATAGGATCCCATTTGCAAGGAAGCTCAAAGAAAAACTTTTTATAAGGAAAAGTTTGATGGTCTTGCAGAAATCATGCCTTATGAAAATTTTAATCTAACTAATGGAAGCTCCCAATCAAAACAAAGTCTCACAATCACAAGGAACTATTAGAAGCGCAGTTCACAGTTTGCAAAAACAGTGTTAAGAGGAGAGAAAGAAAGAAAAGTTTCAGGTAAAGTTTGGTGAGTGGTCAAGAGAGCTGAGCAAGTAAAGGCTAATTTATTAAAGCATTTTATTAAACAAGAGAGTCTAGCAGATGAAGCTAAAAATCTTATTCAATTTAGTACTTCTAAAATTTCAGGACTGCTTGTTTCATACAGTGGGCATCAGATTTTGGGCATGGTGAGAGGTGATTTTGTTTTCCTTTTTTTTCTTTTTGGGCCACACCCGGCGATGCACATGGGTTACTCCTGGCTCATGCACTCAGGAATTACTCCTGGCGGTGCTCAGGGGATCATGTGGGATGCTGGGAATCAACCCAGGTTGGCTGTGTGCAAGGCAAACTCCCTACCTGCTGTACTATTGCTCCAGCCCGGGTGAGAGGTGATTAATCTCAGCACCAGGAAGCCATTTTTGTTCTGTAAGTTTCCAGTGGCAAACTCAACAGAACTGAGGCCTCCATATTTACTTGGAGATTTCTCAGGCAGCCTGGGGCTGGAAAACACTACTCAGAATCATTTTCTGGGTATTCCATTCATGGATGGTGACTCTGCACGAGGCTGTGCTTGGATTTTTTTCCCAGAGGAACAGTGTTTTTCTGCGTCACGTCAAAGTGTTTCTACCCATGAGGCCTGGGCTCTTTGGTCCATAGAATCATGAATTTTTAACCTACTATTTAATAGCTCTTTGACCCATAGAACACAGAACAATTTGTCCACAGATTCTCACTCACTCGGTAGGTCCTGGATCTGGTGAGGGGTGTGATGCCATGCCATTCAGATACTTCTTCTGTTTGTATATTAATCAGTTTCTAAGACAGGCTGCCCTGGATATCAGGAAGGAACATCACAAACAGATCCAGGGTACTAGAACTAATTTGGAGAATCTGGATCTGACTTTTAAGGCATATCCTACCTTAAATTTGACCACCTGACTTCCTGTGTTGGGATTCTCCTCCAGTTAGAAGACTCTAGCCTGGGGCTGGGGTGATAGCACAGCGGGTAGGGCGTTTGCCTTGCACACAGCCAACCCAGGTTCTATTCCCAGCATCCCATATGGTCCCCTGAGCACCGCCAGGAGTAATTCCTGAGTGCAGAGCCAGGAGTAACCCCTGACCATCACCCAGTGTGACCCCAAAAGAAAAAAAAAGGACTCTAGCCTGCAAACTCTGGAACTTACAAATGCCAACAGTCCTCAAATGTCTGATTTGCCCTTTAGAAAATCTTGACCTTCTTTTGTCTATAAAGGACAGTTCCTCTGCAGAAAAAGGGATCTCCTAAGTCTGGATATGCAGTAGCCCCTCACCCCCACTCCACCCCACTGCAGGTGTCAAGAGTGAAGTGCCCACAGGATGTTTGACCCAACAAAATTAACTCTAGAACCAAGGCCTAGAACCAAGTTAGGGCAGTTGGTCAGTGGCCACTCAGAGTCCAAGTATGGGGGCTGGAGAGTAAGCCCTGAGCATAGTTGGTGAGCCCCCAAAACAAAACAAAATAATTAGAA